TTTTGAAGAAGTACTCAATCGTGTCCCTCAGTTTTAGGCAATTTCAGTTACCGTTAAAGCAACAGAAGCAGTACTAAGCCATACAAGTTAAACTGATCAAAATACTCACTAATAAATTATCTTAGCAATCATCTTGTCATCCCCATCCTGAAATTGTTGATTCTGCTGTCCAGTTAGCCACAGAAGCACAGAACAATCTATCAATTGATGATACATTATTGACATAGCTTGGTACAAATAAAAACATACGAATTGATGTTAAAAATCAGATTGAGAATCTGGATACCAGTAGTGCTTCGAAATCCAGTTAAGACAATATTTGTGCAAAACGAGGAAATATGATTATTGAAAGTGTAGTGAAAATTAAGTCTGTTCTCAAGTCATTTACAAAACTCAATTATGATGCAAACGCCGAGATTACTTATGACTCAGGGTTTGGAAGTTTTGAAAAATGATTCTAAATGAAATCGGACGAACCAGACGGCACAGCAGCGATAATTTGTGTTCTCCTTCGTAAACTCGGATCTACTGAACATGCCAAGTATGTTAATTTTATTTTGCCGACATATATTATATCTGCACGGAACTGAATAACCCTGTCGTCAAGTATATTATAAAGAAATGGTTCTCCGGTTGTTAGGTTATCCAACATGACCAGAATGCGCCTCCAGACACTACACCATGACCAACTATGCACTTCGAAATAAACATAAAAGTCAGATTCAACTGTGACAAAGTTCATTCGGCAAAATACTTGATAGGCCATTATCTACAAAACCTAAGGAATATAAGTCATAAATAGACGAATCAAAGACTGTCCAGTCAGGTTATCATGTCAGTGCATTTATAAATCATGAATTCACGAATAACAAAGAAATTAGATCTTTTTTCCGAATGCAGTAGATTTCCACACTGATTTCAGATTAACGAAGGTCTGTCTTACTTTTCCGATCCTGATTTTGACATCATCCATTCTGTTTCACCTATAGTTGAAGCCATGCTGTCTAGATAGATGAAATGAGTGATTTCCTTTAAATTTACCCAGCTGATAGTGATTGATACCTGTCGTTGCTGTAAATAGTTAGGTATTTTCATCACCTCCAACTTCTTTGTTTTCACTTGTAGTTATGTCTTCGCTACCTGCCTCTTCTGAAAAGATGATTCCTGGACTTTACGGCCAGCCAGTACTCTATTATCGTCAAACAACAGTTGTGCATTAACACAAAAAGTATGAAAATGTTGGTTAACTAGTATTCGATTCACACATTATTGTGTGAGGAGAATATATATATTATTGTAGACCAGACATTTGACTGTAACATGGGTTTAAGGGTTAGGTTAGTGGATTTTTAATGATACATCCTAACGAGTGGAAACAAAGCTTTGCATCCTGAAGTAGTCACTTATTTCTTATATAAAATAAGTACGTTAATAACTGCAATTTCTAGTGATATTATCTATTCCATGGAGAAATTAATATTGGCCTACTAAGTCAGTCTTTTGTATCTTTCTCAGTGTGAAAAAGTAGAGTGAGTGATCAGTTGAATATTGTTGTGGTTGTTGCCGCGTTGAAGTAACAGTAGCTCGAACCCGCAATCTAGTATCATCTCTATCATAACACAATCATTGATCCATCCCATCACTGCAACCAACACATATGATAATCACATATAAAAGCTTCAGTGAGTAGTTTTCAATAATTACAGACTACAGTTCACTCCATTTCAGTAAGACAGAATTTCACGCTCCACATATACACTGGGGTGACTTTTTGGTGGTATCGCATCCTAGGCTGTCGCTCGAAATGGACTTGAATGAGAAAAGAAGAGTTGCGGCACGTTGTGCCTTATTGACATGGAGGAAATCATGTGAGGAGGAAGTGAAAGCCAATAGGTGATTATTTAGTCAGCTAAAGGGGACTATGTTAAATTTTTGGGGGCAATCGGCAGGAATGCTTAGACCTAGTCTTCGTGCTAGTTGACGACACTCGTGAGCGAGTCATATCTACAATCTTAAAGGAACTCACCTCTTTCCCGAGATCCGAACCTGCATCATCCAGTGCTGTAAGGTCCAAGGCTTTCTTCTGCCGATTGCCTCCAACCATCTAGTATCTTCAAATCAATGTGCACCGTGATGGCAAGTTACCTGGAATGGTGGTGGTCACCTTGCAAACCTGACTGATAGGATTTAGTCTGCACCAAAGAAAGGGCTAGGCACATCACACCGGTTACTAGTGTCTCTGTCTTGCTTATAACACCACATATGCTAATTGCATATAACAGAACACTTCTTAAGCAGCAAGTCTAAAGTGACATAATATTTAACCACCGCCGCCAAACGATATGGTATCACCGAGCGTGGGTAGGCTTCGGTCCTGCGCTCTCAATCTATTGTCATGTGTTCATAGACTCTGCCAATTAAATCATTTTCAGTGCGTTCGTGCTCTCACAAATGGGAAAGAGGGGAATGCAAATATCTGGGGCTTACAACAGGACTTGTAAACATGCTGGTCTACCTGGGGAAGCTGGAAAACCCTAACTCCGAACCTGTTATACACATTCTGTTCGTTCCTTTCTGTTTGGTGTGCTTCAGTAGCATACTTATCACTCCTGCCCTGTGACACGACAGCAGGAAGCGCGGTCGTTGTTAATCCGGGCCACGGCCGATCCGGCATGAAATTTTCTGATTTTGTATCTATCATGATGTTGGATAGGGTAGCTGCTTTTTGTTTAACCGCTATCCAAACAACCTGCCTGGCATGGTAGGACCTCAGGAGACATAAGTCTCAGCCAGTATAGCTTGAATAGATCATTGCGATGTTCAAGCCCGACCACCACGTCAAGGTAGCAGCTTTCGGTCGGGTTATACATGGGTTATAAAGTAAGAAGAGGCTGAATGGCGTATGAATCTATTTTCATCAGGGAATATTATGGGAATGTGGTCTTGCTGGCATCTGGATCAGACTTCAGGTGAAAGGCTAAGGGATGTGGTTGCTTAAGAAAACCAGTTCCTTCTATCTTCAAGTCAAGACAGCAGCATCCCAGCCCTTAGCACAAACTATGAGATTTTGTGTGTTACACATCTCTTGGTTCTCATTATCTGCCAAGTTTATGTCATAACAGATAATGATGATGATGGCTCGAGGTTCGATCCCTTGCCGACGAACACCTGACATATATGGTCGGCCTGCAAAATTTGGGCTCCCGATATCCATGCTGAAAATTCCATGCCTGAACCAAAACATACGGTGTGGAATCAAGCTGTAATCAAAATTAAATAAAACAAATAAATAAATATATATTATGAAAAAAACTTATGGACATTTTACACAGACTAAAAAAAGAAGGAATAAGTGACAATTCAGAATATGGAGTTTCGTTTTAATAAAATTGCAGGGGTCAGGTATAGGCGAAGATAATGTGATATATATATATATATATATATATATATATATATATATATATATATATATATATACGCGCATCACTATTGATACAATTGAATACATAACAATAAAAAGAAATGACGAAATTTGCAGTCTGTCACTATCCAAGATAAAAGTTGGAGGAGGACAGCACGCATACACACTCAAAGACTGAGGTAAAGAGAGAAGAAATATAAGAACATTTAGGCTCAAGGTTCCAAAAAGCCTCTAGAGGTCAGCAAATGTTCGTGCATGTATACGAGTGTAATTACACGAATGAGTGCACATCCCCACAGATGCGCAGATCTTACAAGGAGAAGAGACCCATCCAAATGATAAAATTAATCCCAATTACACAAACATCTTGAATAAGTATTAGAGTTGTCTTTTTGCTCAACACAGCAGCACCAGCGATGCTGCACACAAACATCCTCGAACAATAGGGTTAAAACAAAGATACAATTAGTGAAAATAAATAATTATTTGACGAAAAGGTGTAAAAAGGATTAAATAAGAGAAAAATAAAAAAAGAGTATATGAAGCAATTCGTCAATATTAAGAAATAATGCATCATTATAGATTGGGAGATGATAAGGAAATTTCACTTGTAGCCTACAGTCATCTAGGCGCATATTAGTAAGCTTGAGATAATTAGGATAACAATTCTCCCCTCATAAAGCTTGTATAGAAAAAAATAATAAAGCATCAAAGTTAACCTACATTACACACACACACACACAGGGAGAGAGAGAGAGGGCACCACAGAGCAGAAGCCCAGAGATTTACACGTATAAACGAAAGTATGTGTATGTGTGTATCGAAAGGAAGGAAGGAAAGACACTAATAGACACAAATACACGTACGATTAACACAATGACTACGATTGAACAGTATTCTTATAAAATGACATCAATTTCCCTTGTTTTCATGTAGAAAAAAACAGCGAGCAAAGAGAGAGATAAGAACAATAATAAAGGAACATACATGACGAAAACTTCATCGAAGAGGGGGAAAAGATGAAAGATTCATAGTAAGTGAACGCGGACGCACAAGGACACCAAAAGTTACATCGCTTGTCAAAATAGGGGAAGTTTTTGAAGAAATAATGATCACGTACGCACCGTCACAAACACACACACACACACATACCGAAAAAGAAACAAGCATATCTATAATGATAGATAAGGAAGTAGTGGAGAGAAATTAGAGTTAGTGCTGGTAATGCTGATAAAAAAGTGTGAATGGTTTCCGATAAAAAAAGGATAAAAGTGATGGTTGGAAAAAGACAACGAGAGGATAAAGCGTTTTCTCAAAAATAATTCAATTCAATCAGCATAACAAAGCTATTTACATGAAAAAAATTGAGTATATATAGATAGATACAAATACATATGTATTATACTATAACAATAATAAGGAGTGTGGATGTAATAGGCGGAAACTATCCACATCAAAAATGTCGCCCTCTAAAAAAGCATAAGAGAGAGATTGTGAAGAAAGAAATCCGACCTGTTAAGTAACAGTATAAATGACAATATGACAATATAGTTGACATTCTTATTATTATTATCTATCCTTAACGATTACGCTTAACATCTGATGATACTGACGAGGAGGATGAAGATCCGTTTGTCCCTGTCGTCGTTGGTTGATTACCACCACCGCCGCCGCCGCCACCACCACCAGTACGTGACGTACGACGTTCATTCGGCAGTGCAAGTGTATCGGATGGATGCGTGTATGTTAACCGTTGATGTGAAGGTAAGTGTAAAAAGAATGGATGCGTCAGGGCTGCAGACAAAGGAATGCGATCCGCTGGATCATATTCTAACATTTTAGACATTAAATCAAACAGATCTAGTGTATCTTGACTTTCATCTTTACAATAACGCTGTCAGAAAAAAAAACAATTAAAACATAAAACACGATTAAATTGAAGGGTACTTGAAGAAGCAAAATATACCACTAAAAGTTAATTTATTTGATGTTCCCCAAAGCACTTGATTTTTACTCGTGAAACTTTCATTACCAGACTTACTGATACTTTCAGATGAAGCTGAAGAAGAAATCCGCATAACTTTCCCAATCCCCACAGCCTGAGCTACAGATTCTCACTATTTCTTTCGTAAACGAAGTCAATTTTTCTGACTTCAACTCGCCTGCATTTTCACGACACACTCCTTTGGCACAATCCCGACCCTGACAACTACATTCAAACATATTTGAGGTAATAATTAATCGAAGTATAATTATAGGGAAACCTTTTTTTAAACAGCAATAGCCAACATAAAACTATTTACAGCTGACTGACACGATTAGTTGAATGCCACTCATATCAAAGAGCAGTGCCTGCTAGCCAGATCAAAGTGATCTGATCACTACATAATTATTACTTTATTTTCATTGCTTTCGTTCTCAGTGAAACACAGGACTTCAAAATTTATTTATTGTCAGTAGTGATAGTATTGTCTCTTTTAAGGAGTGGAATAGCTGGTCCCGTGACCATCCCCTTGTCCTTTTCCGAGTTTACTAACTTGGTAGGCGAGGTTTGGGAGTTCGTCCGTGGGGAAATCCAACCCGCACCTCCCGTTGACTGACAAGCACTCAACCAATGAATGATATATACTAGATTAAAATCGATTTTGGCCACAGAACTACACAGTTTTTTTTCTCTTTTTCTCTCCTTATCCCACATACAATAGAAACAATATTTACTTCATGCAAGGGTTAACAGATGTCAGACTAACACAAGTCAAAGGTATTACAAAACATACTGTCTATGTGTTCGAGGTTTTTTCTACTACTTACTACTACTGTTTTAGTGAGCACAAAATTTATCAAAATAGTATTTCAAAGCGAATGCAAGCCAGCCAACGTCAAAACAAAACATGATTGTAAAAAAGAGCACATAACGTAAAAACGCGTAGTGAACGATTATATACCATTTAATGCGACTGCAACACGTATACGCGCATTTAAACACACTCAGACAAGCAAAACTAAACACTTTTTTTTGTTGATAACAAAGGCATAGTAATTGCGTGAAAACAGGAAGAAATAGAAACATAACCAAAAAAATAGATGTAATTTACCCGGAACGGACGACAATGTGTCATGACATATTTGGCTTCACGTGATTGTGCATCCCATAAAAGATTGCCAGATGTATCAAAATACTTGGTTCGACTGTATATAAAACATACACATAAACGCACATCGTGTATGATTTTAATAATACATTTGCATAGAGACAAATGTGTGTGTGTGATACGTGTATTCACGTTGTTGATGGTTATCGTCATAGGCATGCACGGGAATAGGGAAACAGGAAGTAGATAGTGAACCATAAAGAGAGATCGGCATAATCCGTTATAGTCAGAAACAGGTATAGATACACACATGTTTGTTTGTTGGTTTGTGTTTATTGTTTCATTACACAGAAGTCATAGTTTATAGAATTCAATTAAAAAAGCAAGGCAAATAAGAAAATGAGTTAATTTTAGATAGACAAAAACAAAAAGATGAATTCAGTCAATTTAATTACATGCAAATATACATTATATTGTATTCCCTGAGTGCCCCGTTGAAAAAGAAACACCAGTTATCTGCGTGCAACTCCAGATAAAAAAAACCATTGCATTTCTTCATTTCATATCTCATTTAACACAATGCAACATGAAAAGATGCTTCCCGATGAGTTTTAGGTGTTATCCCACCTCACGGAGAGTGAAGGTAACTGACTTGTGATACACAGCATGCTCATAGACAATGGATAGATGTGTGTATGTCTCGTCAGTCAGGCATAACAACTTACAAGTAACGGACGACAATTCTCACGGACATAACGACCTTCTTGATTATAAAAATCCCAATCCAAACGTCCATGATAGAAAAACCCAGTTCTAAACAGAAATGTATGAGCATGATGTGTAAGGCGTGTTTATAGTATACAAAACCACTACTGCATACATAATTTTATGTTTCCACAGTACTATATCACTATTCAGCTAACATGAAGCATAAAATAACTGCGTGACTTGTTATAAACTCAGTTTAAACCCACTGAGATTCTGAATACTATATACAAGATGTACAACTGTAGTTCTACAGATGTTGACCTATGCAATATGAAAATCAATTGAGAACGATATATATATTACATACAGGGTAAAATGCCTAACTTGGAGTTTATAATACATGCAACAATTGATTATATGGCATTATGCAACAGCATAAGAAGACAAACGGTAATATTCCACCGACAAGGATCAACAATGCACTGGATTTATGAAAAATTTTGATGTATATATCCTACTCAGAAGGAATAAAAGCCGAATAGACATTTTCACTTTCCCGCAAATACATCCACTACTTCCTTTCCTCAAATATACAACAAAAAAATTACTGAGTCAACAATTAAATAGAATTAGTTAATGCAACAAGGAACATGAAATGTTACTCATCGACCACTTGTAATTCGATGCACAGTTGGCGCTAATGAGCCACACGTATCCTGTGTGTGTGTGTGTGTGAGGACAAGTGATAATACCTGGCTGTGGAAACCACTGCAAAAGGAACGGTGTGTTCACACCCGCGACCCACGCCCTAGTTGAAAGTTCAATGACAATATCAATAAGCTACAACTCCAAACAGTAATGCATGCAGTGATAGTATACTTCATGTTACAGTCTGTTAGATGAATGATGTAATGAAATATAATAACCCACTTTTGTTGAAGAAAGCATTCCCTTCAATGACCCCCCACCCCCACCCCCGCCCCCACCACTTGAATAAATCAAATCATAAACAAAAAATTTTAACAGAACATAAACAATAAAACAACATACCGTGATTTTCTAGTCATACGATAAGGAATATGGCCTAAAGTACGTTCCATCATAGCCAAATGTTCACGGTTATCATGTGTCTGGAAAATAATTATGTTGTAAATATAAAACAAAAACACGAATTAATCTCTGTAAATCTTTAGTAATTCTTTCTGGAAAAATTTTACAGAAAAGAGAAAGAACTGTGTAAAAGGAAACAAAGCTGAATGCTTAGCCGCCGTTACCAAATAGATATGGTATAGTATTAGGAGAATATATGCATATACATATAACAGGATGCTTACCTGGAAAAGCGTATAACCAGTGTACAATTCAAACATTATACAACCGATAGACCAAACATCACATGGTTGAGACCAACCTAATTCTACACATTGGAAAACAAAAAAGATATTAGGGGAAACACTAGAGTAACAATGAAAGATAGTTATGATCGAATTAAATGTTTTGAAAAAGTAACACACTTCTGCACATAGAATTCCACAATAATTTTTAAAATTCCATGAGGGATTAGTATCGCTTAGAGGACCACTGGAAAACAAAAGAATACTGGACAGCTGGTACGTTTTAGTTTGACACTTCGATAGTATGCGCCCCCTCCCCGGGATGCGAATCAAAGGAATTTCGACTACAGAGCGATATCAAGCTATACGATCGTACAAAGTTGATTTATTGCCACTATAAGGCTGGACGCCTTATCAACTGTTCCTAATGGTCATTACCGGGAATGACAGTATCTACTGGTAATAGAAGTCTACATCTCAGCATTTGCATTCTGTGAGTTGCTAGGACTGTTACTTTTTACATATTACGTTACAAGACATACGACAATATTGTTTGACGACTTATGATGCTACTCAGTCAATCTTAGAGTGAAGTACGTAAATACTCTTTGACTGAGATACATTACCACACCTCTTCTCAAGGAAAGCCAACAATCACAATTTTAATAGTAATAACAATAATTGGTTGCATAGATTAACCCAAAGTGCGAGTTTTGCAACTGAGCTTTTGCAAGTAGTATAATGAATAATTCTTTTTCAAGAATCTTGAACAGTACAGCATCAAGCGAAATAAGACAAAAAGTATTTTATATTTTTGATTACATGACCATAGATATCAGGTGTGCGTCGGCAGGGGATCGAACCTCGGAGCATGTGCATGGTCGGCGAGTCCTAGCCACTGTGCATAAACGGAAGACAAAAGAAGTAGGACTGACTGGGAATAAAAACCTTATTTAACTAGTGTAGGTATTTTTTTTTAATATACTCTACCACAAGCTACCCCTTATGTCCGAAAGATCTTAACTTCGTTCTCTGAACAGGTCTTCCTTGTTCCAGGCTATGGGCGAAACTTATTGTGTGTGAGTGTTGGTGTTATACACCAGTTCCAACGCTGAAATGAGTGTGAAGTGGGACCCAAAACTGGGACCCACTGACTGAAAGTCGAGTAATTAAAGCCAGTGTGCCGCAAATCTCCACTTCAAGATACTTAGATACCTAGATCAAAATACAAAAAATATATTCTAAATCCAATCAACACTCATTAGCTCGGAAGAGTGTCATTACTACGCCTATTTGTAAGCAAACAATTCTAGCAATTAAGAACAAAATACTACATATTTCTCCTTGATTCGAAAAAACCATACTTTTGTAGCAGCAAAAGGTAAGACACGCAGGCCAAGGTATATTTTCAAGTGATCAAACCGCTATTTATATATATATATATATATATATATATATATATATACAGCTTTACATTCTCTAACCAGTCATTGACCGTGTGATTTTGACTTTCATTAAACGACATGGAATAGAATGTTCAAATGTACATAGAATTCGGTTGCTAATGCTGTACTGAACTCCGGGAATGTGTGAGAATGATATTCCGTTGGAACACATTCTGTATCACACCACCACACTTTAATTTCATTTTTTCAATCAGTTTAAGGCAAATGACATTTAAATAATATGAATGGAAAAGAGACATTCAACGAGAACCACGGAAACCATGTCATCAAATGTCAAACTGTGGGTGAATAAACAAATAATACAAAAAAGGCACCTTCTGACCTCCTTATTGGTCGGGCCTCGACAGAGGAAACAGAGAATATTTGACAACCTTAGTGCTTATTGTGACAATCATCAATGAAAAAACAGAGTGAAACACCATTTTTGACATTTTGAAACTGAATTCTTCTGCCATTAATCCCTGATTTTTTAGCAATCAGTAAAACTCAATCACAGTTCAGTAGGTATTAGTAAAGTTAACACTATAAACTAGTAAACGTTAAAAAGTGTTCCCACTAATTCAGTTTAATTAGTTGGAATCCACTAGAAATAAAGAGCAGTAATGTGCATATCATCCATACATAATAATTCATCAACAATCACCAGTCGAAAGATAGAAAACTACACTGTCAATATACGCAGTAGGCATAACAATCTAGTACGACCGAGGGAGGACAGACTTCTGTCTTCCTCGCCAAATGCTCCTATGTGGCCACACTTTCATTTCCCCTGCCAGCTAAGTACTATGCACTGACTTGACGCGAAAACAGTGATCCCCCCAAAAAGTGGAAAGGTAAATCCAAACGTTTGGCGCTTACAACCAGATTGATAGACAAACAGGTCTCTCTACCGAGGGGAGCCGGAAAACCCGAATCCTGAGTCTGCAGAGTACACGAGTCCCAGAACCTGGAAGGATAGAATGTGGTATGAACTTGTTTTGGCCACTGTCAACCACGGGAACACTGCCTTGTAGACCTTAGAGATGACCTCTTAGAACAGTCACCTACTTCGGTCTGAGAGTCCGGGCAGTATTCCAGTCCTCATATCTCTCTTCATTTCTATAATGCACCAAGTTTGTGTTTGATAGCTAACGAAAAGAGCACGTCGCTTGGATGCTTTGATTTCGACTGATTTTCGTCACTTAACTGTTTTATTACGAACATGAGAAGTCCAAAGTTAGAAGACAGTATTGATATAGATGAATCAACCAACCGAACACACGGACAGAATTTTTTGAGCTCATATTATAAATTCCGTAGTGAAAACAAAAATCACAAAATAAAAACGAAATAGAACATGAACACACATACTGATGCACCGAAACACACATACCCACACAGATGTTAATCATAAACTCACCTAAAATAACTTCAGGAGCACGATAATGTCGTGTCGACACAATTGTGGAATGATGATCATAATCAAATGTTGCTGAACCAAAATCAATTAAACGGATATCAGAACACTTGACCATACGTTCATGTCTACGCTTTTTACGATTATGCACTGATATATAATCAGAGTCTACAAATAGTATATTTTCTGGTTTTAAATCTGTATGTGTTAATTGATTATCGTGTAAAAAGCGTACAGCATGACACAGCTGATAGGATATATGACGAACATGTTCCATCGGATAACCAACATAATTATTTTCTTTCTACAATGACAAAAAATAATGAAACGATGTATATACATATTTCAACAGTATGTGAACATTTGGATTGATTGACTGACTGAGTTTCAACATAGAAATATACAATAGCTCAAGCGCTACCACACCTCATGTAGTACACAAAAGTAAAAAAAGAGATTCAAAAGAACTACAATGACCAGAAATGTGAGGGAGAAAAAGAAGTCACATGGAAAAACCATGAGGGCTTAATGAATATAGATCACAATGAGTGAATGCATCTACGCCACTCAGAAAAATTTGAGCCATATCACGAATAGTCTGCAGACATTGGTTCTTCGTACCTTAAGGACTCCAACCAGGCAGTCCACCACAACTTCCTACCTGGCTGGCTGAAACCAACTGTGAGGAACTTCATGGAATGACGCCAGGTTTGGGTCATAGTAGAATTCAAATAGGCAGTCTCCGGATTACTACACCAACACTCTACCAATGATCAAGACTTACAGGTGTTCAGCTTCAATCAATACACAGTATATCATTAACAGTCTGCTAGCTAAAGAATATCTCACCATCATTACGTCAACTTGTGTACAAAGATCCCCCTTTGGGAAATGAATGTCACACTGTCAGCTTCCTTAATGCAATTACATGTTATTACTTGAGGAAAACAGAAATGTAAAGATATATTATAATAAAATCAGCCGTAAAGAGATCTGTTTACCTTTGCTAGACCCCTCTATAATGAGTCACCAATTGAATTTACCACTTATTCCTCTTTCTGCGACCGTAGGAATTTGTTTACAGACAATCTAGGAATAGTGGAATATAAATTGGATTTCGCTACGTTAAAAGGAAGCAACGTATGTAAAGCTTATCACTCCCAGGCAACGCCAATATGAATTTCGCTAAGAAACTATTGGAAATACAGAAACAAAACCATTATTATTCCTATTGTCTTGATAGTGGACTATCGATGTAGACGGCGACCTATTCTCTGTGATACACAGCGCTTTATCTTATTATTTTATTCTTTTGCGTCCCGAGTAGAACGTTGGGCTTCGAGCTTCAGTTTTTGAATGTTCAGCAGCGGAGGTTTTATTTTCAGGGGTTGGAGCTACTCACCTCACGCTTAATATTCCCTCTTTACCCAGCTTACTATTGACTAATAGAGGTTTATGAATGGTGTCAGCCGCAGAACGAACCCCGGACCGCGTGTAGTGTAACTGGCGAGTATTCTATCGAAGAGCAACCGACGGACGACCCTTTATCAAGTAGTAATAATTTACTTTTCATCGCTAAGATAAAGGGTTACACAAACACTTCGATCACACACATACAGATACGTTTAAAACACAGAGATAGAGAGAAACATGAATTTACCATTTTCACATTTACTGTTAATTAATAATAACTATTAGATGCATTGAACATTTGAAATCTACAATCTAACATGATTATACTTGTATATGAGGGAGAAAGAAAGAGATAGGGAAAGCACACAAAGCTGGGACTCATCAACACACACACACACACGAACACCCAAGTAGCAATATGGATCCAAAATTAAACGTGTATATAAGTGTAAAAGAAACAAATCAATAATGATCATATTAGTAAGAGAAAAATAACCTATTGATTGGTTGGTTACATCTGTTTCTAAAATTGACCATCTAATGCACACAGGGAATCTGTACTTACACCATAGATACATACATGCATGCGCGCACAGGCACACATCCGTGTTCAGAAACAAAATATAATGGTGCACAGATCAATTTCTCTCGGTTTTTACTTACGACAAGGAGTATATATATATATATATATATATATATATATATATATATATATATATATATATATCCGCCTTTAGTCAGTCCGTCATCAGTATCAGTTTTCTTCATTACAAAAAAAGGAAGTCCAGGACGTACTACACGCAGACAACCTAATAGCTATAATACAATAACCACACAGTTATAATGACCTAGCAATTAAGCAAACGAGATAAATAAGAGAAAACCTATTATTACAATCCGGTTATGAAAATTACGATAATGTATGGAAGATAAAAATACAATTTATAAAAACATCATCAGCAAGCTTTTAAAAGAAAGAAGGAGGGCATATGTTTTCGTTACAATCTTCTCAAGTGCTTCACATTATATTTCCCTTCAAGAATTAGAATTAGGGGAAGGGTATTAGAAGAAGTATTATTTATTTATTTATTATTGAGTTGCAGTTCAACAAAGCAAGTGAATTACATTACATCTAAATGAACAAGCCTTGATGAGGTCCTCACCCTATGACAACTTCTATTACACAGATACATACCATTGTCGTCCGATGCTTGTCACATTTATTGACTGGAAGGTACTAGTTGACTCTATGTCTAACTGTAAAAAGCATGTCTAGAAAGTGTGTCACTGACATTTATTGCTTGGAAGTGAGACTGATGCTATCACATCTCAGACTATATTACAAAATAAGTAGAATAAACAGTAGGCACAAAAGGTGTAGATTTCCACTACGGCATATCACGCACAAATCCAAACAAACATCAAGTTTTCTTTAACGAAACAAAAATTGAATTTTATAAAACAAAGCAAAGAAAGATAGTCTTGCTTTTAATTCATTAAAACACAGACAATTACCAAGTAAGGTCGGAAGATAGAACTAATCCGAGGTATTTTGCATTAGACTTAGTTTCGATTTTAGTCCCCTCAATGCTACAGGCTTCATGAGTGCTTACTAGTGTTTGTAGATCTCGTTTATGCCTAAAGGAGAAGTCAATAGTCTGGCATTTTGAGGGATTCAACATGAGACCACTTAGTTTAGACCACTGATTGATGTCCGACAGGAAGCTATTTAATTTGAAACAGTCTGACTGTGACTTAACCAGAAGCGAAACAGTCAAGAGAGAGCATGCACACAATACATGTATTGAGTATCTAACCCACCCCATCAACACTACACTCTCCGATTGAACAAACACACACGCCTCTACGGTAAAAAGATAATCAGTGATGATAGCAGTAATAGTGGCAATAAAATAGAAACCAAGTCACATGAATTACAAAGAACCACAAAGGGTAAAATTATGCTAACTAAATTTAAATGCTAACAATTCAAACAAGGCAAAACGACAACATTCCACAGTATATTCTTTCTTCTTTGTGCTTCTATTGATTTTTCGAATACAAATAACAACACAACACAATGAAAAAAACAAATGTGTGTATATGAGTAAATCTCCTGTCGAGGAAGCATACAGGAGACATTTAGCCACACACAAATACATACATACAACATAAAAGGAACATTACTACTATTAATAACAATAAGTTATATTATAACTTCAACGATTTACTTACCAAAAAGTCGAATACAGATAAGCCAAGAATATCAAATGCCAAGCATATATGTCCATGATAATCGAACCAATCCAAGAGAGTTACGCATAAACTAAATTTATGATAAAAATAAACAAACAATTAAGCAAACCCAAAAAGGGATATATCAAGATAGGGGGGAAATGGGCAAAAAGTATGAAAAATATCATCATTAATTCTGCTTTGATTAATATATATATATATATATATATATATATATACTTTAATTAATAATAGCACTATAATAATAATGGTAGCAGTAGTGAAAATGTGTTAAAAACAAAGAGATGTTCTTTTATCAATATGTCATATGCGATGAAGAACAAGAAAGAGGAGAAAAAAGTGCAGTCTGATGTTTCTGCCTCCTGTTGGCACAAACACATGAACACACAAAGATACCATCTTGTACTATATTATACAGTGTTATAAAGAGAAAAATTAAAAGAAATTTGTTATACACATGTATGTATGCACTAGAATTGGACATACATTTACTTTCTCCATCTAGATTATCCTATTTCTTTTCAACTGATTAGATTATTAATGAGGCGATTGTTGAAAGAAAAGTACAAGGGCTGCTTATGTGGTTCAGTAGTAGAATATGCGCTTGCTGCTAGCAAGTTAACCAGTCATGTGGGAGGAGGTCCAAGTTTGTTTCCCAGACGACCACTCACCCTTACAAATCTTGCCTAGTTCACTAGCCTGCAGTATGCTGGAGAAAGTAAGAAGCTTGGGCATGAGGCTAGCGACTTCCTCATTCAGAGAAAAAAACTACATTATCACCACTGAAACTTCAAAAGTACTATGTTCCTCGTAAGAGCATAAGGAAAGAAAGGAAAAATTACTTTGCAGACTGGCATATAAAACGATATGTTATATTTTTTCCTTCTGGTGTGTATGTGTGTGTATGTGCATGAGGGCCATTTAAACCTTGAGAAAGATGAGGCAGATGACCTATTAATAGGAAATGGTACAACTGTTACTAATTCCACTTGATTATCTAATAGTTTATAACACTGACCTCTTATTCAGGCAGGAGTAGTAAATGGAAAGATTGGAATAACAACAGCTAAAAATTGTATCTTTAGGTCTTGAATCACTGTTATGTGCAACAACAGTTTAATGGTAGGTAGTTCACTATCAGTCAGTACATAAACTGTTTAAATACTAACTAGCCATTCGATAGAAAGACAACCGTCCAATCCAAATCTCAGAGTAACAATAGGCACCTACTACCCCCTCATTTCCGAGTGCAACGCAGGGCCTCAAAAACACATCTCCATTTTATTCCATTCTCTGCGGTCCACTACAACAAGCTCCATAATTCTCACAAGCAATCACGTCTCTCTCTTAAGCGATCTTCTCCTTGTCAACCTCGGACCTACGCCCACCTCACCGTTTCCCTTTTGTGTTCCCCTCCAAGGCCTGGCGCATGATATCAATCAAGTTTGCGTCCTATTAGAAATACTCTCAGTAACGCGTATGTCAAACACTGACCTAACATTAGTGTTCAAATTCCGAATTTTGTTCCATATGCTGAATGCGACAGATTCTCACACTGATTTCAGAACAAGGAAGATCTGTCTTGGCTTAGTACGACTATCTCCTGCTTGAGCTGTTGTAGTATACATCTCCATCTAAGTCGCCAGGGAAATTAACAAGTACTGTTCATCGATACTGCTGCCGATACTAAGTGACTACCATATTAGTAACCATCCCTTTGCGTTTCTAGTGGGACACGGCGTCTCAAGCCAGAGTTTTGTAGTTTCAGTGGCAGTGGTGTCTTTTTTAACGACGGGATAGCCAGCCAGTCTTACGCCAACTTCCCTCTTTACTAGGTTTACACTAGCAGCAAGTGAGGTTCAGAAGTGTGTCGGTCGTAAATCGAACATTGGACGAGCTTCCCACCATTGAACCACTGAGGCGCATGTATTAAAAATAACATTACGGATTAGGAAAACAAAAACAGATGAAACAATATGAGTTTATAATAATCATAACAATTAGTTTCACTTACTGTTCAACATTGGCACTACGTTCATTCAAGAAATTCAATACATTTATTTCAAGCATAGCAGCTTCACGATATTTGTCCACATTTTTAATAATTTTTAAAGCAATTCGACGATTTCTAAATAAGCAAACCAAGAAACACAGAGAAATGAAGTCGCATAACAACATTGTACAAAAAAATAAATCAGTGATTATCAAAACCAGATGGTTGAAGGCAGTTCCCAGGAAGCGCTGGACCTAGTTTTCGTGCTTGTTGGCTTTCACCAGTCAGTAAGGATTATTTGCAATCTTGAAAGAATTCATATGCCTTCAGAGATTCGAACCTCGGTTCACCCAGTGGTGCAGTCAGAAAAGTTACCACTGAGCTATTCGGGATCATAATCGACCTCCAGTAGGATCGTTATGGATACCTGACTCTTAGAATTTAGTCTACACCAACACCAAGGACTAGACACGCATGACAACAGTTACTACCTAGTGTGCAGTGAAAGCATAATCCAAATTAGAGCACAATAATTTGAAATGTAAAGGAACCACAATCATGAGAAATTAAGTGCATTACGGAATATATAACCCAGATAAAAACCAACAAGTCCTACAAAATTTACTTTCAGATTTCATTCAGTCACCGCAAGAATGATGACTGATTACATTTATAGTTGCATAACTGTAATCACCACCGACGATGCTCCGTCAAGCTAAACTCCACCTTCAGTATGCGATTGCATTGAGGAAGTAATAATGAAGAAATTTATCACAGAAAGCAAAATACACAGATCTACAAGGTATCTTTTCAATGGTGCACCAACCAATGGAGAACTAATATGAAAAAGGAAGTGTTATGAAGTACAATCTTCTTTGTTAACCATGAATTCACGATTTATTCATACACTCACATGATAACCTCATTGGACAGTTTTTGATTCGTTTATTTATGGCTTAGATCCCTGACGTTTTGTAAGATAAGATAAGATAATAGCTTAATTCCAAAACAGTACTTTGTGATACAGAATGGAATTCTCAGCATTTTTACTACAATATTGCATCCAGTTAGTACATTAACAATAAATAAAGTTCTACATAGATTAAAGTTATCTCAGTCAGTTTTGACAACATATTAGCATGTCGGTAGCAAAGCCAAAATTTAAACAGTTTGAAGGTGTTAGAAAAGCGGATACTACTAGCATGATATATAAATGATAAATATGATACACCATGTATTCTGTCTCATAAACGTTACCGCGGTTCTTGTTGCTCAGCAACGACGAACACCCACCCCCCCACACAACAACCAAAAATGAAACACACAAGCTGGATGGAATGCATAAACCTATGCCTAACAACGTACTTCCCATTCAACGGTCAAATATATGAACAAGTCAAAGGAACACCCATGGGATCGCCAATTGTTTGATTGCAGAAGCAGTGATGCAAAGGCTCAAAAACATAATCCTACCAAAGATCAAACCCAAAATTTAGATACGCTACGTAGACGACACATTTATAATAATCAAAAGAAACGAGTTGGATAAAACTCACAACTTAATAAACAACATCTTCAACGACATCAAATTCACAAGAGAAGAGGAATCCGAGAACAAAATCCCAAGCGAACAACCACAGAGGAATTAGAAACTCAAGTTTATAGAAAATCAACTCACACAGACCAAATATTGAACTTCAACAGCGAAAATCCAATAACACAAAAGAAATTGCATACACACTATTCAAGAGGGCAAGGACTCATTGCACCACTCCCACCTTAAGGAAAATCGAAGAAAGATATCTCATGGACGTCTTCCAAAAGAATGGATATCCACGGATTTTATCAAAAGACATATACCCCCAAGCCAACCTATCAAAGCAAAAGCCACCAAGGAAAGCACAAAGAAAATTGCCTTACCATATATAAAAGATATCTCAGAAATCACCGCAAGACTCTTCAAACCTTTAGGAATTGACGTCTCACACAAACCAACAAAGTCACTTCACTTAATTCTATGTCAACCAAAAGACTCAACAGAGAAAGAAGATAAAACCAAAATCATCTACAAAATAAATTGTAACACCTGCGAAAAACACTACATTGACCAAAGTGGACGTCCCCTTCGTCTTCGTATCCATGATCATAAACCAGTCGTCAAAAGACATGACATCAACTCCCTCAAACCACTACATACAGACAACCACGGATATCAATTCGATTAGGACAACGTTCAAGTATTAGGCAGAAGAAACGCCAAGAATGCTACAGAATTTTAGAAGCCTGGTATTCATCAATCAATAGACACATCGAGATAGACAAAATTTACCAACCAATAAAAACGGAACGTCACACACAAAGGGTCAAAGTTTAAGTCAAAGAAACAATCAGTTCCAATACAAGTAGCCTAGAAGGTGTGAAAACACATAAAAACAACCAATCACGCTCAAGGTTACCAGGAGAGATGATTAATAAACTCGGGGCGAAATCTAAAAGCTCACTTCAAATTGAAGTATGCGTTGAAGATGTCGCCTAGTAGGGCGATGAAAGCTTCGCAAATTAACTATCCAGCTCAGAGAACACAACATCAAAATCATCCACCTGAGTTACGAATCTTCTCCTTTACATCTACATTTAACTACGACTGTTTCCATAGATAACGGATTCGATGAATTAAAGTCTAAAGGGATATTAAAGTCCTAGTCTTCACATGATTATGAACATAAATAAATTGTGCTTTAAGCGCCACCAGTAACACAGCACTGTATTCCTCATTCTGTGATTTTATCAAATAAATTTAGTCTACCATAGAATCATAGTCTACCACAGTGTACGCGTTTCAATCCTTATATGAACACGGAAACACAGTAACATTAACTAATTTGTGAATAATTAACAACTTAAAAGTAAATGCGAAAAGTCAATCCATAGCAGGAATCAGTAGTGATCATAAATCGTTCAAATACAGTAGTGTCCTGAATAAACGTCAATGATGAGACATAGAGATTACCAAAAACTCATAATTTGTAGGCTGCTATTTCAGTCAATCGCCAACGTTATGAAACATTTACACATTTATTAATTTAACAAGAAACACAGAAATAATGGATAAAAACTTACTGTACATGATCTTTGCATTCAACAACCTTTCCAAATGTACCTTCTCCAAGTGTTTTAACGATTTCATCTGATGTAATCAAACAAAGTAAAATTAGTTATCGATAAAATGTCATTTATTTTAAAAATATTTTGAATAATAAAATTAATGAAATTGACCTATATATATATATATATATATATATATATATATATATATATATATATCAAGAATTATCAGAAATTGGAATTCATGGACCGGTCACTGGATCCCGTCGCAGTGGCTGAACTGTCAGCGAACCTGTCTTGTGACCTGGCGGATGAGTACTGTCAAAGAGTCCCAAACTAGGAGGAAACAGCTGCCAGTTCTCTCTGCTTTTCCAATGGTTCTCCAACTAATGTCAGCTCGTGGTAAATCTTGTTATTAATCAAATACTTGCAAACCAACACTTGAAAAAATATGTATCTTGACATTATTGTACCACCAAGTGAAAACTGGAATTTTTGTAGAGTAACAGCAATACACTTATTGGATATATTATACAGTGAAACGGTATTATGTGCTGGATACCGTTTAACTTGACGACTAATTGCCTGTAAACAACACTTTCGTCATGATGACTTATGATAAGAAAGTGGAGTTTTAACTGTCATTGAAACTTCACCCGTAAAATATTTGAGGAAAAGTAATTTTTAATAAAAGATAAAAGACTGTGTGAAACTGTGACTTCGTTGAAATGAAATGTAGGTCTGTTAGGACTGCGTTACACTCTTTTACATGTTGGTCGGTTGCAAGCGTTTATATATTTCACAGCCAAACTATGTTCAGATGTCGCTATTACAAGAAGAAAGGAATAATAATTGGATGGTAGTAGCATTTTCTACTAACATGGTTTATTCAGTCTTGTACAGAATGTTCTTTTATCGACACGAAATCATTACATGAATACTTCAGCAGTTTTACATTGGGTAATAAGAATTTCCGTGGTTATTTAATGGGAAGTAATAATCACTTTCAGTCCAATTTAATCTATGGTCTTCTTGTTCGAAGAATAATCAATAAATTTACACAACTTAAGTGATACATTCATTTCTTTGGTGTGCCAATAAACTTAGAGAAGCAAGTTTCAAAAACATTTTTTTCCTTTGTACTGGCTTGTTAGATGTATTTTCTATATGTTCACACTTTGAAGTCGATGATAACATTTGAAAGTCAATGAAAATTTCTCTACTCGTAGAAAACAGCTTATACGTAAGGCAAATAAGTATTACGAAAAAGGGAAGTGCGTAAATGATTCCCAACCTTATTACAAGTTATAATACTTATAATCAAAATTAACTACAGCATAATTATGAGGAATCTCTACACAGCAACGTTGTACTCCCCGGAAAAGTGAAAAGGAGAATGCGGATGTCTGACGCTTACTAGACTAGTCGGACATCCTCGTCTACCTAGGCGAGCCAGTAAACCCAAACTTATGGTGCACATGGGCTTCAGAATACGAACATAATCGAACGGCGTATGAACATACTTTGGTCACCGGGAACCATGCGTAGGTAGCTCTTGATGCTGTGTTCGCCTGCCTTGTGGATCAGAATTAAAATCAAAGGATCGGCGGGGGATGACCACTTAAGACAACCACCTGCTTTAGTCTGAACCTGCAGGCAGAATTTCAGCCCTCGCACACAGTATGGTAGTGTTTTGGTGCATTTCTTTTTTCCCATAATGCACCAAGTTTGCGATTTTATAAATACATAAAGTTTAAAACAAGATTTTCGCCAAAAAACAGTTTGGCTTCGGTTAATTTAAAAGGTTTTTTAATTTAATTCATGAACTATCACCATCTAAGTGTTAACAAAAACAACAACACAAGTAGTTCAACGAAGAGACTCTTTTCGGAGAATTCATTTTTTGTTTATATGTACAATCGCATTCATAAATTTTCCTCACAAAAGAGAATAGTAACAAAATTGATGAGTTATTGACATAACTATAGCTGCTAATATTAGAGTTATGTATTAAGATGTATAATTTAATGAATGAGTTGTAATCAGGATGCATATAGAAATGGAAGAAAGTGTGGTATTACATGAGAGTTCGAAAGACATGTGAGTGATAGAGTTAAAAGTCGAACAAACGAAAACCGAGTTGTTAGAAAACAACGATGACGTTACCACAGTAATAGAAGTGGTTGACTAATTTCCTTTTGTATGCATAGCTCCAGCTTCTCAATCTGAATAGCTAGAACTTCAGTGATGCGGAAGAGACTACAGTGTATTGTTTCTTTGGCTGGTTGGTCTTCATTTTGTGGACCACTCCAAGTAGGAGTGTTTTTGTTGTTGAGACAGAATGACAAGTGTTGACAAGGTGCTTAATTATTAGGCCCTTTATCATAGAGCCACTGTTGTCTTTCTGCATTTTTATGATGATGATTGCATATTCCATAGCTCTGATATACTTAATCAACTCGTATTATGCATTGACTAATACTAACAACTCATCACGTTTGCTACCAGACTCTTTCGTGAGTAAATGCGATTGTACAGCTTAAGAGGGAAATGAAATCATCGCGAAAAGAGCATTTTCATCCCTGGACACTGCTTTGTTTTGGTGTTTTTAATTAAAAATTACAAAAAAAATGGTACATCTGATGACTTGACTTACATCGATTTAATATTTTATCACCAATACTGTATATTAAATGTCCATCCACATCGTCAACAACTTCATCATCGTCTTCTTCAGCAGACTGAGAGGAAAGGAAACATTAAAAATAATAATAATAGTAAGATGGTGATGATCACTGTCAGGTTAACAACATTGAAAAAATTGTCCTTTTAGAAAATTAACACACAAGCTTAAGTCAATTACTGATAATTACTAAACCAACTAAACAACATACGATGAATCAATATCACTAATCATATAGAGAGCAAAATATTAGCAAATAGACAGATTGATATATTTGTGACCTGATTCCATTCTATAGAAACCACTCTAAAAAAGGTCGAATTTCTTAATTTTAGGATTGAAAAACAACGGAAATAAGGTAACATGGATTAATGATTTAATTCGCTAAAACACATAGACCATCGGTTAAGTTCATCAGTTAGTTATTAACAAACCTGGCAGAGTAACAAATCATGACAATAGTGTACTGTACCCTTGGTGACAAATACTAGGAGAAACAATCATCGAGAGGTTAACAATTTCATACAGCCATTACCATAATCATCTACTTGTGAGTGACGTAATCTTTTCCTTGTTATTCTTTACACAAACGTGTCTAACGATGACGGATACCTTGGAGTATACACTTTATACATCCTCTCAGACAGTTACCAACCATATATAACTACATTAATATGACACATTATATATACAAGGTACTGTGACATACAAACAAATATTAAATAAAAATTCTAATTCAACAGAAATATTTAAAGAAATGAATTAAAAGAAGGAAGTGAAATAGTAGGCACTCAATAACTAGATTCGACTGATTTATATGATAGATAATAGAGTTGATTCGAGCAGTCAACTAAATAATACCCACCAGCAGTAGTGAAAATGCAAAATGATTAACACCCCATAGAATGAATATTAATCAGTGAGTCCTCCTGACAATTAGTTAACGAAGTAAGTATAAAATTTTATAACCGTAAAACACCTAAGCATATTAAAACAATACACACAACGATAACAAAAGAAAACCATTTGAGAGAAATAAATTCACCTCAGATTCATGTCTTAGCAAACCTTCATTCAAACTTTCAGTAACACTAAGTTTCCTAAGTTCAATAAATCGTTTTGCACGTTGCCTAGCAACAGCTAGTCTAGAAGCAGCTTGATCTTGATTATTTCGGGTTGATGTATCACTGCTATTAGCAAGTTTACTACCAGCATTATTATTAATATTACTACCATTCATAGTCACATTATTACTGTCGCTAACACCATCAACAGTGGTGGTCGTCGGTGCAGAATTGTTGCCTATGTGATTTTCTTGTTGTACTGCAGATGAAGTCTCTGTAGCATTTTGTCGCATAGCACAAGCAACTGTAGCTGCATTTATCTCTTGAGTTTTCTGCGTCCGACGAAGTTGTCTACGCAAACGTCGACCAACTGTTTCACATTCCGAGTCATCGTCACGATCTTCACCATTATTTTCATTACTTTTATCTTCTTCTTCTTCCTCATCTTCTATTTCATTAATACCGTTATTATTCTTAGGATCTAATTTCTTTTTATTCTCTTCACCCCTGTTTGTTAATCCACTCAACTTGTCCAACATTTTATGTTGATTATGATTCGATTTTATGCTTGCAAGTGATTTCAATGTTAACGGACCACAGATGATTACTGAGGCTTTGCACAGCGTGTTGAAACATTCAATTTTCTTAATAAATCTAATATTTGTTGCTGTATATCCATCGCAAAGGATACAAACGGCATAGACAGCTGTCGGATGATCTGGTAGAGTCTCAGTACAATCTACTAATTCACCATCTATCGGCCAACGAAATCTTGATGAATTAGCATTAAAGGCTGCAACAGCGGCAGCGGCATTACTAGTTGTTGTAGAACGCATACGTCTTAATGGGACACCGCGAGACAAAGGTATCAAATATGGCATACATTCATTTAAACCAATGAATACACTCAATTTATATAATGTCGGTTGCTGTTGTCGGTGGTGCTGGCTTTCATCCGCTTTATGATTTGATGGAGTTGACGATGATGGTGCTTGTTCTGAGGTTGTATCCAATGTGAAAGAATTTGAACATCGTTGACAAATAAGAGGAATATCATTTGTTTGTGTAGATGAATTTGCCATTGATACACGAGATTTCTGATAAACTTTATGCTTTGGTATTGGTTTCAATGTAACTAATCGACTGCCAGTAGTTAATACCTTAATTAATTGATTTACAGGAGATTTCACTGAAGATGATGATGTAGGTAAGAGATCTCCAGCAACCGATTCATTTCCATAGGTTGGTGATTCTGGTGGTAATAGAGTTGATGATGTCGCTAATAGAATAATGTCACCGTCATCATCATCTTTACCACTGCTTGTACATCCATTCTCTGTATCGAAAACATCATTGTCTGAAGACCCACAGCCACCAGTATCATCTTCAAATTCTTGTTGATTAAAACTAGAGGTGGCTTTTTCAAGTTTACGTAGTAAAGCTGAATTCACTTCATCAGCTTTTACACCATAGGTAGGTTTGATTCCCCGACGTGTAGTAGTTGCAGGTTTTCGATCAGCTGGTGGAGAATACGAAGACTCTCTTGATGCTGCACTACCCACACGTAATCGACTTAAACCATCACTAACGTGACTACTAGCAATTGAAGCCGTAGCAGTATTCCGAGCAGTTGATGATAAACTTGGATTTGTTGGAATTCTTGGAGGTCGAGTAGTAGTACTGGACATAACTGTAGAATTTTGATTATTTTTCAAAGAATTCATTGAATTTAACCGCTTTTTATTGGTTAATGTTATCGACTGAGAATGGTTGGAGTAATCAGGATAATGATAGTTATTGTTTGATAAAACGCGTGACGGTGATGCTGTTTTTAAATTCAATATATTATATGACAGATTTATTGGACAATTGGAATTGTAATTTGATAAATGAATAAACTGTGATTTTTCAGACACTTTGCAAAGATGATTATGAATTGACACACAATCTGTAGTCAAAACTAAAACATGATGTATTGATTGTGTGATAAACAATAAACTTAACTCCTCAGTATAAGTCCAGTTGGTTAGTGCTGTTACTACACTATTTGATGATTTGGTATTGTGTGTGGTATTATCAGGAGTACGTTTGTATAAATCGACCTGACAATATTCACTCTGTAAATGAGGATGATGATTAGTGCTATGAGATGAAGAGTTATCAGGTGACTGATTGTCAATTAAAGTAGGATTACTTGTTGTTAAATTACAAGCTGATGCACATATAGCAACAGGAATATAACAGTTTGGTATTAAATGGTGTAAACATACAGGGGAATGAGGTTCATTAGTAGTACTAGATGACGATTCAACGGTGGCGATAGCAGTGATTTTAGGTGCAATGTAAGTGGGTGCAGCAATCGGTGTAGAGGAAGACGATGATGTGGTAGCTGAACTCCACAGAGGGGACAAAGAAACTGTAGATGGTGATTTTTTTCGTAAATTATCAACAGACTCCTCGGAATTTGAATTATTACTAAATCTAGATGAATCTGATTGTGAAGTAGTAGGAAGAGAATCTGATGACGGTTGACCTCGACTTGCAGGTCTAACCGGGCTGCTTGTTTTTTGACCCAGTTGGAAGGTGGAATTATAACAGAATTTGAAAACTAACAGCAAAATTTGGTAAATTTATTCAATTCCAAATTTAACTGTCACACACACTTACAATGATTAAGTGAGTGACACTACGTAGATATTTAATGCAACAAAGCCATCTTATGTAATCAATCACGAAGAGACTGAGTTTGTGTGGGAGAGAGAGATAGAGGTAAAATAAATTTACGACGATAATGTAGATTTAAACTTTGGTGGAGTGTTTGAAAAAATAAGGGATAAGTGTGTTTGAGTGTGAAGAATAATTCAATACAATGTATGTGCACAAACAGGGCAGATGTAGAATTTTCCACCAATGTAAATTAACCTATCGCCATAGAAGCAGAGATTACTGTCGATCAGATCGGTAAACAAATCTCGTCGAATCTCTAAAAATATTTGGATCTTTTCCTATTTAGACAAACACACACTCACACACAAAAAGAACTGAAGGAATGCACACAGGTAAATGAATCAAAGTTGAACACAAGAAAATGTGAATATCCCACTAAAATGAATCGTCGACACAAATACATACAAACACACGCATGTATGTACAGGCACAAACTAATACCTTCTATAAACCATCTTTCAGAACTATAACAAATCATAAACTACCAATCCACTTATTATCTAAAAATAGACATACAGAGTATCGTAGGTGTTTTAGGAAAGTAGGAGAATAGTGCAGTTCAATTTGCATTGCGCACATACGGCGCATGCACAATACATAACAGCACCCAAAAATTAGCACATAAATATTATTGTGTACATGGTGCGCAGTCAGATAGAGGCATCCAAACAGACAGACAGGCATAGAGACAGGGAGAGAAAATATAACGAAAATGGTAGATGAAGATTTGATAGGAAATGAAAAGAAGCTTTCACAAAGACCAATTAGTTCCAAACAGAGAGACAGAGAAAGAGAGATAAAGGAGGCAAGATAAAAGATACAATGTAATGGCACATGCACGCATGCACGCATACAAAAGTACCGAATAATCGATACGGCATAAGAAACCAGACAAGTAAAAACAAATCAAAGTTGTTAAGTGGACAAAAGTGAAAAATAATCGATGAATATTGATACCTATACTGCTACCACTAGGCTAAATATAGTTTTTCCAAAGTAAATACTAATTGATATCAGCACTAAAATTATAATTACTATTACTACCATTACTTTTTCAGAGTTAGAAAAGACGAGAGTAGCTAAACAATAAGACGAAGAAACCACATACTACTGACTGACTACAATTGGCAGTTGTATACCTCTGCCAAAAACCAGTAGTGTCTGCTTGCTAGCTAAACCAAAGTAGTCTAACCATTAGACAAACGTTTCGCCCGTTTGGGGTCGAGTTCATCGTCAAATTTGACTTATAATATCGCCAGTCCACCAAAGTAGCTAGCCAGAAATTAGTTAGTTTGAAATTATATGGCTCTCTGAGGTAAATCAAACCTGGTACACTGCTGATGGGCTCGGATCCAAAAGAGAGAAATAAAAGTCGATGTTTCGATCACTTCGATTTGGTTAGCAAGCAGGCACTACTGGCTTATGGCAGACGTGTACAACAACTCATCTCGATCAATCAGCAGTACATAGTTTCACGTCTCTATAATTGCTTGGAGTGATTAAAAGTCAATGGTGCAAGTGTGCCTTACTTTGACACACCCAGTAGGTGTCTGTGTCAGGTAAACAAGGCTTGATAATACCTGTTTCCTTGAAAGTTTGAAAGTTATATAACTGCTTTGATATGATTATGGGTAGTGGTAAATTGTTGTCATCACTGTGTGATTACGCAATGACAGAATCATACTTTATCATAGAGCCCGAGCGTCTCGTTGACTTAGTTAAAAATCTTTGGCACTGTGGTAGAGTATAACTTCATTATAGGTAAGATTTTATTTTGATAAATCACAGTGTTATACAGTAATATTAACTGATGGCTTTACGAGCACAAACTATTGCTAAAAATCATAACAAGTCACTTACACACAACTTTTTACTTCATTTATATAAATGTGAGATTAATTATTGAAATCCTGATTCACTGAGTCTACACACGGAGTGTAGTGACTTGAACTGCTGCACATCAGTGCAAAGTTCTATGTCGAAACACATGTAAAAGAAATGACTCAATGCAAATACCAGAGATATGGAAGATATTATTACCACCAGTCAAATCAGAGGAGAATAATAAATAATCTTAAAATGTATTCAATTCACATTATCACATTCTAACAAGTTACTTATTGTTACTATAAAAACATCTTATTTCCCATCTGATTGCATTTGATCAATAACACTCATATTATTATTTGTGAATGTGCAATATCCTACATTGATTTTTACTCAAATGTCTAATCAATTCCACTTATGTATACAAATGAAGTAAAAAGTTGTGTGTAAGTGACTTGATATGATTTTGAGCAATAGTTTGTGCTCAAAACGTCATCAGTTAGTATAACTGTACAACACTGTGATTTATCAAAATAAAATCTTACCTATAATGGTGTCTCCTTGACACTTGTGTAACTTTATTCAGCATGCACACATTAAGCACATTTTTCCAGTAGCTTCTGGTCAAAAATAAAGCAGTAGTAGTCATCGAAAATGCTTAAGTAAAGGAAATATACCTTAACCAACCAGCGAAAGAAAAAGCTGAATATTTTTAGATAACAACGACGTCATCAAGACATGACTGAGTTTTGAATACAATGATTATGTGTACATGTAGTAAATTAGCTGTGCTGTCAAAAAAGGAAATATAAACACAAGAACTACATAAATTAGGCACTTAATTATTATTCCCTTGGGTTCCCAGTCAAACACACAGCTTCGGCACCGCGTTTCTATCTCCTCCTGTTTTCTGCAGTCTTCTTTAGCTGGCTGCACAATCACCCATATACTTACACTCCCTTCACAGGTTTACTGGTGTCAGTGTCAATGGTCTCTTCAGCGTATGTTTCGTTCATCAACATCCTCGGCACATTTGTTGGGCAATAGATGTTTGATAAATTGACTGAGTTCCTTGTTGCTTTTCTTTTCTGATCATCTGACCTTCACTATGGAAAAAAGGCAATCATTGATGAAAGTCTGTACTAGTCTGTTGGGAATGTTTTTGATGATGATGACGATGATATAGGAGAACTGAGTGACTGTACATTAGTGGTGAAAATCCTAATATGTTTCTGAATACTTCGTGGAATAGGTTTTTACACTGATTTCAGATCAACTGAGATCTGTCTTGCTTTTCCAATTCCGACTGACTTCGATATCCTCATTCGTGAAGATTGAACACTGTTGGTATCATTTAATTCCATATGGACTTTCTTTGGATATAACATGCAGTGGGACAGTAGTATTTATTAGATGAAGTTTTGTACCCCATCTATTGTTCATAATTATACCACAAATAAGATGGTTTTATGAAATGCCTTCGACTCAAACATTGGTTTCTCCACCAAAAAACTTAGCATTTTAATTTGAAAATTAGACAAATTATCGCCTGAACATTTACAACACTTATGACGCAAAGAATTTGCATTAACACGGGGACAGATCTTCTACATACCAGCGGCTATGAACACACGTAGCGTTTCATTGTTGACGAAACCATCTGGTTACGCCGACTGAAGGTGGCGGTGGAATCTTAACCAGCATCCACTGGATTGAATTCAGGTTAGCAGCGTCTTCACAACAGGTGATCCAATGACGCTAAAAGCTGCTAGGTTACCATTATTTCTCTTAAACCACAATAATGAGACACATACACGACTGCCTACATGTAAAAGAAAAGTTTTACAAATCAGTCATTTAGACCACAACTACTGCTCTAGCAGAACTAGCTGGGTGGTAACATTCAAGACACAGTAGATGGAAATGCTTGGAACTAGACAAGAATATGTGTTAAAGTTTGAAAAGCAATGCGCATACGTTCTGTAACAACCAAGTTGGAAGTGAGACTACACAAGAAACAAGACAGTAGGGATTTTGTGAAAGCGAAAGCCCAAATCGTCTATTAATTTTAATTCATATCATATAAAATAGCTTCACCAAAGATTATTTCACTTACCGATGAACTGCTAGAAGAATCAGAATTCTGGGATTCAGAACCTCTGGAAGATTCGTGTTGACTACGGCGATCTATACGCCGTGAGCGTTCAGGCGTTTTCAAAAGTGCTTTGGAACTGGAAACAGTGCCTGAATACATATTCGCTTTTTTCATGCTCTTTGGACCAGGTTCCCAAATAATATCTGACTTTCCCTTCTGAGCATGTGGATGACGACTATTTGATGTGGTTACTGGGTGTTTTCTACTCCGTGAAGTAGGAGGCTGGGGACTTGTAGAGGGAGGAACAGGTGGACGAAAACTACGAATATTTCCACTTTTAGACCAATGAAGCTTGGATTCATGTACATTGGATTTTCTGTTGTGATGTTTTGCAATATAATCTCTGCTAGGATAATTCTGTCGACCACTAGTAACATCTTTACCGTTATTTGAATGTCCATATCGTGACCTTAATCTGGACGGATTATTATCGTTTACGTCACCGTGAATAGTACCATGATATTGTTTATTATCACGTGGACGACGTTCATGTGCAGCTGTTGTTGACCAGGATGAAGTTTCTTCTTTTTGTTTCTTTCCATAATTGGAACGGCTGGATTAAGAGTAGAAGTGTATTATACACAATGACACAAAAATAAAAACATCGTCCTGATTCATTAGTAAACGAATGAAATATATCAGTCAATAATTTGAAGTAGGAACGTCTTATGTCATCAAAAGAAAGTTAATTAAAATGTCATAACATAGTCATAAACTTCATGTATATTATTCTCCAGAAAAATGAATGACAATCTGTCCAACTAATAATCAGTACATGCGTCGGCGGCACAGAGGTAGAATGCTCGGCAACCATGCATGCGGTTCGGGGTTCGATCCCCAGCCGGCGCACTCCTTTGCCTCGCTAAGCCAGTAATAAGACTGGTAGAGAAGGGAGGATGGACATGCGGCTAGCAACTCCATCCTGTAAAGACAAACACCATTGCTACCGAAACTTCAAGCTACAGGTTTGAGGCCCTATGTTCCACCGGGAACGTAAAGGAATAAAAAAATTATCATTAGAAACAAAATATTGACATATTTTTACTTGCACACAGTGAACTGCAGAGAAACAATGTACTATACCGGCTTTGTATTCTCCACTTTTGTCACTATGATTTTATAACTACATTCTAAAGTGCCAGCTACATGTATATTTTTACAGAATCCATAATGCAGAATTCATTCGATGTACACTGGTAGGCAAGGTGCTATAATAACATACTATAGTAAGTTCTTACATTTAGCAAAGATAATCATAGAATTACAAATCATAAACCACTGGTCGATGAGATCAGGGAACTCCACCACAAGGATCGACTTTCTAAAGAATAAATTATTTACAAACTTAAAAGAAATCTGAAATCTCCCTAGTATTGAACAACACAACACGTACGCAAATTTATGCTTTTACTGAGATTTGCATAAGTCAATGTGGCCTTAGTTAAATACGAAACTACTAAGTTACTACCTTCCATAAAATACAATATACTAAACCTTTATTTACGCAATCTTATTTTTTCTATTACAAAGATTGATAACATATTATAGTATTTTAATTTACGAAAGAGATTTTTCCTACTGAAAACTTTTATCAGTAGTAACACGAGACAAATTCACAATTTGTAAATTAATTCTTCACTTACACAGTTTGAAGTGGATTTTATCTAAATTTCCCTTGAAAACCGAACTTATTCATATCATAAGTCATCTGTCCTTGATAACATAAATGTCAGTCAAGAAAACGAGCATAAATGCATTATGCTATATACTACTGCTAGGTTGATTATGATAGGTAGTTGGATACTATTCACCCCAACCACTAGTACCTGCAAGAGAGATGCAGTGATCTAAACAGTGGGTGGCTGTTTTGTTTGTTTGTAACCAAGTTCATCAGCGATTTATCGGTTCAACTCAGTCGAGTAACACGAACCACATCTAGCTAGCTACTTGAGCGGGACATGAATCCCTTCAAGATTGCAGATACACCTTGCTCAGTAGCAACAAACAATAAATCTAGGTCAGAAAAGGCTTCCTGCCAACTGCTCCTAATCATCAAGCCTATAATACAATGAATCAAATCCACAGTTCATTGATTTTTATATGCAAATTTTAACTTATGCAGTGATGAAGGACTAAATCGCCACTATCATCCTTCTCATCATCGTCTGGACAAATACCAAATACTCTAAAATGGAATACCAACATCGACTTTCCTCAACTAAAATATTGATTGAAAACTAGAGAATTATAAAATTTATATAATATGACCTGAATGAATACTCTCAGATGATGGAAGATGATCAAAGATATGTGTCTCGTTAGATTTGGGACTTGTCAGCTGGATGTGTGCCTGCTACACCCAGTGAGTGGTCGTTAACCCACTGAGACCCTAAAACCGAATGCACATCATTGAATTGAATTCTTGATTTTCCCGTCGATTGATTGGACCGAAATGCTCGGTCTCAGGTTGACTTGTGCAGATGCCTCAACGATGTCTGGGCATTTAATTAGTATACAATTGGTGGATGGTGGCTAGCAGTGGAATCCAGGATGCACATTTCGTCCTATTTGGGACTCGTCAGCTGGATGTACCTGCATTTCTCAGTGAGTGATGATGTTCCCACCGAGGCTTTGGCGTTTGAAACTATGGGCACTGGGTTCGAGCCTCAGTGGGAACATCATCACTCACTGAGAAATGCAGGTGCATCCAGCTGACGAGTCCCAAATAGGACAAAATGCGCATCCTGGATTCCACTGCTAGCCACCATCCACCATTTGTATACGAATACACATCGTTTCAAATGAAGAAGCGTAATCCACTACGTCACTGGGTCACGAGATTCACCTCTTGTACAACGGGTATCAATAAATAGTTATTTGTCCAAGTTAACTTAAATTTTCCGTTGACTGATTTATACATTGGACGGAAATGCTCGGTCTGTCTCACGGTTTCAGTTCAAAACAATTGATCGATAAGAAATACAAATATAACTTAAAAGAAGGTAACACCAAGATTTATTTAACGTTGATTACTTCTCGAAAATTATATATATTTAAGATGCTTTAATAAATGCACTGAAAACCGAATAAATTTAACCTACCTGGATGTCTTCATGGCAGTCTGTGCATGGGAAGATTTTTTGTTCAATGGAAGTTGAGGATGTCGTGATGATACAGTGGGAACTTCATCTTCATACATTTTTCTTGACTTCCAAACTTTATTTTCAGATTTTAAACCTTTTGGCGGTGAAAGCAGAGCTCGTTTATGCTTGTTAACAGATTGTTTTTTTTCAATTGATTCATCATGTCGACTTTTACTTTGTTTATACTTACGACTATCCGTAAAAGATGAGTCAGGAGTGTATGGTTTTCGTTTTGATGAATCTTTATTATACTTTACTCCTCTTTTCTTACGATGCGAATATTTATGACGAGCGCCAGTGACAATGGGGGGGTAAGAAGAAGATTCGTCAGTGGGGGGTGCTTCACTTTGTGATAGTGATGAGGAACTAGTAACATCCGTATCAGAAGAACTGACATCACTCATCAACAGTGGTGACTCGTCAGAAGATATAAGTTGTAGATTTGATGATGACTTTCGATTATTGTCATTGTATTCATCCTCATCATCAGCAGAATCAGAGCTTCTATCATAAAATGATTCTGATATTTTATTCCTTGCCTTTGTAGATTGGATTTTTCGACTAGACTCCTCGTCACGATCACCGTGATTGTTACTTTTGGTGTTATTTTGTCGCCTTTTTGACTTTATTTTAAAGCCTTGTCGCCGTGAGTGTGATACATTGTATCCACTTCTTTGAGGTGAACGAGATGCTGATGCTGAGGAGGAGGATGAGGAATGACGTGTAGATGCAGACTGGCTTACATTTTGCGATTTACTTTCTTCCTGAGGAAAACTAGAACTAGAACGGATGCGGTGGTATGAACCCGAAGATGAAGAGGATGAACATGATGAACTACGACGAAGTGAAGTTGCTGGTAGAGGTTGAACATCCTGCAACGAATGAGATGAATGCCACCGGTCAGTGTGATGAGGATTTGCGTAAGCTGCAGGCAATGCACGACTCCTTTGATCCTATTTACATAAAGTAGTGAACTTATACTTTTGAAAGATAATGTTAATGGAAATTTCCATCAATCATTCAAAATAGCATTTTAAACAACTGAATTCTATAACAGAAGAACATCACATATATGACACAATCATTACGTAACTTCTCATATCTAATGATCAACAAGAGAGTGGACGACATTCACAAAGGCGTATTAGGGTATAATAACGAGGACACTTCAATAGATTACCAAACATCATACAAATTGGGGAAAAACCGTTTTAGAACGTATATTTCATAATCTTCTTAAAACAAACTGAAACCATTAATTCGAAAGTCATGTAAACATGAAGCACGCTTAAGTGGCAGGGGAATCGAGCAATCGGATAAGTAAGTGTTAACAAATGTCAAAACCCCTTTCACACAAACACTGTGTTGGCGAAAACAATACATTAGCTCATTACAATTCACCTGAGCTCATTGAACAAAAACTGGTGTGAAAATTACTGTGATATTCTGCATAATAAATGAGAATGGATTATTCAAATGTTTTTGGCTTTTCTATACCACTTACGTGCGTCACTATTATTATTATTATATCCTTTAACTCCTAGGGGAACATACGGCTTCAGCTGAGAGTCTCCATTGCCTTCGGCTTTCTGCCAACTTTTTCACCCCGCCCACATGCTTTCATCTCCTCTTCACATGACGTCCTCCAAGTCACCCTTTCACTGACGACCAACTCGCCGCTTCTCTTTCGGGTTCCACTCGATCAGTGGCTTGTCTAGTGATGTCACTTGATGGTTTCCTCAGAGTATGGCCAGCCAATCCATCTCCATTTCTTCCTGCCTATTTGTTTCACAATCGGTTCTTGCTGGGTTGGTTCGCTCCCAGAGATTTCTGTCGCTGATCTTTTCTGGCCGGCCATCTGATCTTGAGTATCGAGCGAAGACAGCTGTTAATGAAGGTCTGTAGTTTGTTCGAGATACTCTTTATGGCACGACAAGTCTCTGATCCGTATAGTAGCACTGACTGGCTTCACATTGGAGTTGAAAATCCGGATCTTATTTTTGATGCTGAGTGTTGTTGACCTCCACACAGACTTAAGAATAATGAAAGCTTGTCTTGCTTTCCCGATCCTCGCTTTGATATCCTCGTCAGTTCCACCTGTAGTTGAAACGATGCTTCCCGGAAAGGCAGGTAAAGGAGGTTGTTTCTTTCAGGTTCCTTCCACTTATGCTGGCTGATTGTTGTCTGTTGTATTATTGTTGGTGTTGCTGTTCACCTGTAGTCCTATCTTTGATGCTTCTTCTGCCAACTTGTTGTTTTTCACTTGAATATCTTCCAGTTTGTAAGAAACCAGACATACATCATCGGCGAAGTTCAGATCCTTCAGGTTTTTTGTGTGAGTCCATTTTATGCCTGTCTCCTCATCGCCCGTTGTCTCTCGCATTATCCAATCTACTGCACCCAGGAAAATCATTGGTGATAGTAGTCAGCCTTGCCTCACTCCCATCCTTACTTCGAAAGATTCCCTAAGTTTCCCGTTGTGGATTACTTGGCATGCAGCATTGTCGTACAACTGTTAAATGAGATGTATAATCGTCGATGGCACCCCGTAGTAGCGAAGTAGTTGCCAAATCACCTCTCGATCGACGCTGTCTAAGGCCTTTTCAAAGTCGATGATGTTGAGATAGAGAGGTGACTGCCATTCCAGGCTTTGTTCAATGATGATCCGTAGAGTGGCGATTTGATGAATACATGACTTTTTTCTCCTGAATCCAGCTTGTTCCGGTCGGAGTTTTTCATCCAGGGCTTGTTTGATTCTCTCCGTGCGTCACTGGTTCAGTGGTAGATCACTCACCAACCACACCCCACGTAGTCCAAAGATCAATTCCCAGACGACGCACTCGTAGGCCTGGATTAACCAATCGTAAGACCATTAACGAAGGAAGGTTAGAAGTGAGGATAGTAACCCCAACTCCTACTGAGACCTCGGAAATAAAGCCCTATGTCCCACTCAGAATGGAACAAACAATAGTATAAAAAGATACCATTTTTACTGAGGACATTCCTTGTCTACTAATCTAAATTGCTGACCAAGTAGTAAAGCGTATATTTCAAACAAAACTATGGTGAATAGAAACAGTGTGCAGTCAATCACCTGATTGAAATTGAAAGTACTAATCCCTCATATTTCGGGAAAATCAACAAGATACTTCGTTTGCACCATGATCTTATTTACTCATTCTTAGTTGATTACGCAAATGACTAAGTTTTCTAATGTTCATTTATCGTTTACCCGTGGGTTATCAGTCCAAACTCTTAACCTTCACTATTTCAAGTACTGAGTACAAAATTAAGACTCCTTCCCCTAGCTTGAACGATCGCCTACCCTGTCACCATACGATTTTCTTTTAATATTTCTTTCGTTCGAAACAGACTTTCCACGGGACAAAGATATTCTATAACGCCTGATCATACTGATCGATCGACTAGGCTAAATTAGGCAGAGAAGAATTTGAGGAGTCGGAACATCATTACTGGTCAAAGTGAAGTCAGTGCATCTTGTAGATCAGCTGAGTGACGGAACAGTCATTTAGAAACTGTTTAGTCTCACTTTTGCCACACATCTCAGGTTTTCATTTTATTATAAATAACGCTTATAGCCCACTATCACCAATGATATCCCTAATCGTAGTAGAATGGTTCATGCAGTAAACCGTCATGAGAAAGAAACAAGAATAAGCTGGGCCAACAAGAAGAATCTAGGAGCTTTGCACTTCGCAGACGATTCATGTCGTGTCACGCAAACTGTGAGGTATATAGGCGAAAACCAATACGTCAGTAGAAGCAGCAGCGAATATGGGACATAGGGAAGGAGAAGGTGATGAAGATATCTGACCAACAACAAGCACCAACAGGAGAAACCTGAACAAGGTCACTTCCTTCACTTATCTAAGTGGCAGGCAGTTGGCACGGATGGTGTCCAAACCAGTCAGAATCAGAAAAGGAAGACAGACCATCATTAATCTGAAATCAGTGTGGAAACCTACTTCACTAAGCATACAGAACCAGATTAGGATTTTCAACATAAATATCAAGTCAGTCAGTTCTTCCATATGGTCCAGAGACTTAGTAGGTCACCAAAAGCATTTCGAACAGGCTACTGCAGACTTTTATCAACAGTCCCCTTCCCTCCACACTGAAGAGCAGATGGCAAGAAAGGATTGGCCACAGGGGACTCTGACAACGAAAAAATCAGGAAAACACAGTCCAACAAATATACAGAAATAAATGTTAGATGGCATCACATGCCAGGCCCTTGATTGGACGGTTTGCGGATGAGAAACAACAAGTTCGGCGTGCTTCTGAGGGTGACAATGTGGAAACGAGAGTTTATGGACAATTTAGAGCCAAGTAAAGACTACAAAAAGAGGATGAGATGCAGGTGTGCTGTTGAAGCCCTGTGTTCCAATGTGAATCTAAGGAAATAATAATACGAATGAATTCAACACCCTCATAGAATACAGTGTGCAACATAGATAATCAGACTGGAAATTCTCATGAACCAGCATGACAGTCCGCCTTATTTCGTGAGACTACACAGCTGCTTGGTCGTATTCACATATCTGCAGCATACCTAGAAATTGATGTCAGTGTTGCAGCAGTTTGCTACAATCATTAGGGTTTAAAACATCACTACTAATTTGAAAGAAATAAAATGCTTACTGAACTATCACTGCTATCGCCTGTATCACCTCTACGAAGGTGCGTGAATTGTGATGATTGATTCGGAGAATTATTTTCATAGGACATGCCTACATTGGAATGTGTAATATTATGCCGATAAGCACTTCTGTTCCTAGACCTCTTTTTACCTGAAGTATTACAAGCGTTCGGTGCTTCACAAGAACATGATCGAGAATTAGATGCGGAAGAAGTGGATGATGACTTGGAGTGATTAGAATCGTAGGATTTTCGAGAACGTACAGCGTTAGCATTAGGATGATTTGAAGAGCGGGTTTTGGGAGACCGATTGCTTGACACCTGGTTTCGACACACTTCAAGTCTCCTTTTGGATGAATTTTCATCTGAGTTTGATGAATTTAAACAATGACCTGATACAGAACTAGTTATTTCATGCTGACGACGAGTTTTATTGGTCATGCCGCCTCTGGAGCAAGATTCACGAGACAAATCATAATGTGAGCATGCACCACCAGATTCATCTTCATCTTGAGAAGATAATGGTGGACTTGAAGGTGTCCTTGGACCACGTGGAAGCCGTGATAAAGGCTTGTTACAATTTGTTTCTGAATGATCAGATATATCATCATTAGGAGACATATATTTGCTACTTCTTTGGGGGAAAGCTGGATTATTCGAGACCACTTCTTGTTCTTTTTTAATCTTCTCTTTCACTTTCTGGCTTGTTGCAGGTTTAGCTGAATGTTTATTCTTCGGTCGATCAATCAGACACTTTTCTGGGGGGACTGGTCTGAAACAGGGAAATACATTACCAAAATAATGTTAAAAGTTGGTTAAAAGGGTTAGTGATTGATACTGTCTCTCTCTTTTCGTTACCTACAAAAGAAATGCATCGTACTATGATTTCCCTTAATTGCACAGCTTATGATGTGAACTGAATGATGATTCCTAAACGTGGTTGGATTATATTTTTCCTACGCTTTTATTCACTTTAAGTAATGATAGACGAAACATAATCATACAATACATTATTAAATGTACACTGATTAATGGATAACTACAGTTCGCACAGAAGTGCATCGATGTAGGCTGCTACATGTTCAAAATCTGTCGAACAGTGAAGACTTGATCAATGTTAACTCCATCCACGTTTGAAACTTGCTTGTTTTTCTTGGGTTTTTTATTTCCGAATCCAGTTTATTCTTAATAAAACGATGTATCCTGGGACCTTAGATACTGCATTTATTAAGCTAACCTCTATTTGATTAGAGAGAAAAGAACGAGCTCAGCTGAGTTTTCTCGTATTCTCTTACACTAGTGCCACCGTTTGTTTGATCAGTAATTCATCATTCCCACCATTAAACACCTCTGGAGGCATAACACCAAGTCCTACTATTTTGTCTTGGATTTATATTACAGAGAGTAGCTAGTCAGTAAAAACGACCACGAAAAAGCTAGCAGGAAATCGAAAATGACAATAATTTTAGCACAAAGTGTTAAATGCATCTGGGAAACATTCTATAAGACAAAAAACTGCTTAACGGATTGAAATTATCCGCACATTCCATTAGACGACCTGGTATGGCTGAGATTGGATAGACTTTAGACTTATCCTCAAAATGCTCTCAAGTGGTCATAGACCCAACCAGTTAAGTCCTGTTCGCTGAGGGGATGTTTCTCCCAAATATGGAAGGATGGATTCCAACACCTGGCGCCTACAACAGGACTGGTGGGCATGCAGATCTGTCTATAGAGGTCGGAAAACCCCGATTAAAAACCTATGGATATCACACCTACACGACAGAGATGGCATAAGTTGGCGAATACCACATGGACCTTGTATATCCGTTTTTCGCCACACGTCAGTTGAATTAAAAAAAACTCTCATTTCGCCTATATATACAAAAACCCATCATCCTTAACAATAATGGCTGTGGTGACAAAACATCTCTTCACGTGGGAAAAATCCTTGGCAAAAGTGAAACAATCACACACACACACACACAAGTAATGAATATTAATAGATAAAGTAGTTGTAAGATGTTAATAATGATAACCCGCATACCTACTAACAGATTCACGTCCTGTGCTAGTCTGGTACTTAGATCTTGAAGAGCTTTGACTATCACAATCAGATGAATTATCTTGTGCTAGTTGAGATTTTGTATTGTTATACTGTTTATATACAGAACGATTGCTTCTGATATCACCACCTCTGCTTTTTAAGCTTTCATGTTTATTCCGATGAGATTTCGACTTGGATCTAGATTCAGAGGAGTCTGGTTGTTGAGGTGGGTGAGAGTTTAACTTTAAAGTACTGATTTGTTTTTGAAATTCAAGTGGATTAGGTAAATTGAATAAATCACAAAAAGGTGGAGCAAAGTCAACCGGTGGGCATCTAAGTGTACTCAACAAATTTGATGGATTTACAGATGGAAATAAAGATGGACAAAGACCTGACATAATTGCAGCAGCTTCTAAAACATTAGGAATATGAGGTGTTGTGGAGCAACCAGGGAATAGTGGGAGATCAGCAGCATTACGAAATTTTGGATGTCTTCTATCAACATCTACTGGTGTGGGCAAAAGTGGTCCACGTTCATGTTCAAACCTATAAAGTGGAAGAAATAAGCAGAGATATTACCAAGTTGAAACAACAGTATATGAAATTTAATTTATCTCTATACAAGTCAACTTACTCAGTCGACGTAGGAAGTAAAGTATCATTTGGTAAGACTTCCACATGACGTCTTCTACCTTCTTTTACAACACGATTAGAACTTGATGTAGAAGCTTTTTGTACTTTCGACTCTGATTCCGAATCACTATGAACTTTCCTCGGTTTTTGTTGATCTGAATTCAAAGTTTCCCGTGAAGTGTCTGCTTCATTTTCACTAGACGACTCTTCTACAACACCTTCGTTGTCCTCACTCTCTTCACCATAAGTATCATCATCTTTAGCCTCACCTTCTTCAACGGATTCTGTTTCATTTGCTGACACTACCTCTGTTGTACTGACTTCATTGTTAACCCGCCGCTAGACTGTTTCGATCCGTCAGCTATATCACATGTATTCGACGTTACTACTTTAGAATTATCTTCAACGTGAGCTGATTCCGCTTCTTGTTTGTTTGATACGCTTTCAACAGTTGAGCCTATTTCAACAAATAAAAATACTCATCTAATAAATTCAACAGAAAATTATAAATTATGATACTCAATAGCAGTAACTTGCTTGTCAAAAGATTTTTGTCTGTCTGTCTGTCTGTTTTCGACATAGAACTTAGCATATATGTGTGGCAGTTCAAGTAACCACACTTCATGTAGCACACAAAGCAAGAGAAGAAAGTAGAAGAAATGTATAGTAGAGACAGTAAACTCGAGTATCTCTCATCATCAGTAATGTCGCAAAGTTCTAATCCGGATCGATTATATAGCTAGGTAAGTATAACTGTCCTCTTAACAACTCGAAGCCACAGATATTTAGGTCGTAACAGATTATTTTTTTTGGAAACATTCCAGTCACATGTAAGTTTTAAGTTTATTTCAACGGCATGAATATATTCGTCAACTTCAAAGCGCCGCTTAAGTTCAACAGGACTAAGTAAAGAAGTAAACAGGTGATACGATCGTAAACCAGTAGTGACTGAGTTACTTAGGACATGATTTGCTGATACTCGTAACACTAAGTCTGAAGTGCAATTAGGAAGGGTCAAAACGAACATGCAAAGAAACTCTATTCCACTTAAGTCTGCTTAAGTCTATCAGTGAATAAGATTCCGAATTTAACCAAGAGCTCATACAACTGTTGAGTGAAAATGAAATCTAATTGTGAAAACTACGGATAGACTTCCCACACACAGTATACGAAGGACTAGTGAAACTGTTCGGCTGTTATGGCTTCAAGAGACTAAAACCGACTGAGTTCGTGGCCTAGACTGAAAAATCATAGCTCCACCTAACTGTTCCTGATCTGTAACCTAAAAGAGTTAATATGTCAACAAGAAGTGTAAATTAGACGAAGTAAAAGATTAGTATACTTGATGAATTGCGATTATCATTATATACAGGACTTCAACACACAGGTGATTTGTACTCACTTGTAATAGCCCCAGCAAACGCAATTATTGAGTCTATTTACTGTATGGGTTCAAACCTTTCACAATTACTGGTAATACTAATTAATCGACATTATTGGTTCAATCTACGAAGCATATGATTATCAAATGACAATACATTCTAATGTCATATCCACTTTTACTCATTCTGATTCTGGTAAGCTCCCACAAAATGAGTGAACGTTAATGAATAATCTATATTCGTACTCATAACTTAGATCATAATGATTGAGTGTTCCTGATGTTTAGAAAATGCAGTTAATTATGAGAACCAAGAAGTATATTAGAAACATTTTATTAACTTAGCTAATGTAAAGCATATTGGATTTATCACTAATACGCACACACACACACACACATACACACACAAACTAACCGATAGAAGACAGGAACAAAACTTGAAATATCACAAAAGTGGTAACAGTTTAAGCTGCTGTGTCATAACAATTGGACAACGTTACTACAGCTCTACGCAATTTTACATCGATTAACAGTAACTGGATACGGGGCATAACATTTCACCAGTTATATTTAATGGATTCCGAAGAGATTTTTACTTATTTATTATTTAACCTTTTGATAAGTGAACCATTAAAAAAATGGCTTTTGGGGGGGGTTATTAAGCATGACTTCCAGTTATATCAAGTTTGAATGTCACTTCATCTACTTTGGAGAAAAATTAATGCCTCTATAATTAACCTCAGAAGGGCTCATAATCTACTGCAAGGAAAACTACAACGGATAACCCAGTTGAACTTGAAGTTACTTGCTTGGTTGTGGCTGCTAGAAGGATCCAGGACGGATGCTTCATCCTACTATTTGGGACTTGTTAGTTGATTGTACTTACCTCCTCCCCAGTAAGCGATGGTCCCCATTGAGACTTAAACTCAATGGCCATTACTTCAAACACTAAAGAGTTATCCACTGGACCAATGCATTCATACATATCAACAGGAAATCGTAAAAATAGATAATTCACGATCACTGTTTAAACCGGAAAACAAGGAGAAACTTACGTCTGCGAACCACACGTCTAGATGACGATTCACGTTGATCTGTATCGTTCTCACTTTCTGAGTTATTATCATCACAAAACTGCTCATTGTCAGCGCGTTCCGGATCACTGTCTTCCCCTTCTTCACCAGAAGTATATTCTGATTTTTTTACTTTGACAAGTGATTCACCACCTTTTTTAACTCCCTTTCCCTTGGGCAATGCATTTTTTACAGAGGAACGAGAAGAATCATTTGTCTTGTTAGATCGGAAAGTCCGTGAATTTGAGTCCCGTCGTTGTTCAGGTGAGTGAGAGGAAACATTCGATGATTCATGCCTACGATACCTCTTATACCGTCTCCCACGTAAATCCACATGACGGTCGTATTTAGGGAAATCGTAAGCGCTACCACCAGCAGATAGTACTGATCTCAGGGAGGCCAAATCCGGAGGGATACCAGAATTGTTAGAAGCAGCTGCTGCTGCAACTGCAGGTAGTAAATCAGCATTGGGATAACTAAAGAAATAAAACAGTAGGAATTCATCAAAATATGTATAAAATGAAGTCGTGATATCTAGATATGCCTTGTTATACAATAATTTGAAGTTCTGGAAAGTTGTTATTCCCAAAAGTGAGAAACTATCAGAGTACGGATTAGGTTACACGAATAAAGCATAATTTGGTAACTAACAATTTTGCACACAATGCACCAGAGATCCACCAACAAATATTTCTAGACACTTTCATAGGACGACATAGTGGCCAGAATAGTTTATCGAAAACGTCATCATAATGTAGCAAGAGGCTACAAATATAACTTTGTTTTACTACATAACCTTCAAATTCACGACAGTAACAGTGTACACACCCGTGAGGCTTGCTGGCATACTCTACCTAAAAACTTTACACTAAACTTCATCATTTCGCATTATCATGCTTAGACGCTTACGATTACAATCGAATGAAACCATTAAAAAGTAAGCAACGAAACCACTGGAAATGCATGAGTTATTCTTCTTGACCAGAAACCTGCATTTACATCTGTACTTAATATAATGAACTTATGTGACTACCACAAAACGACGGTGATTACATGATTCGTGAAGTCATGAAAACCAAACCTGAGTAGTTTGCTGGTGTACTTAATTTCCTTAAAACCAAAAACACTACAATCTACGAAGTATTTAATTCAGACATACATATGAAAAATAAAACGATTTGCTTTTATTATAATATCGCTAACCATAAAGACTCCACAACAAGTGCATAACACCTGTAGAAGTATTTATTAAAGATTTAGACAAAAGAACTACATTTAGTAGATTATACCAACCAGAATACACACGGTAAAGTTGCTGTTAGTGTAGTTCGTAGAACTACGATAAGTTTGGTTACTACGTTGGGTCTTAAAGTTACCTCTTATTTGTCTATAATTGATTAGCATTCAATATGGTTGTATGCACATGAAATAGGAAATAAAACATGGCAGGACGAATTTTCCAGGCGAGTTTTGCTCCTATTCGAAATAAAGATCAATTTATAAGGTTAGTCATGAGCTCTTCACAATGTCAACCTTACATCCTTCCAGCTTAGACAGTGAAATCCCTAATTCATAACATGAAAACAGACCGAAGAGTGTATCTGTTTAAAACACTGGGAAGGTCCTGTGCTTTTATCCGTTTACTGTCGGCATATTAGCTTGCTACTTCCATTTCGAAAAAAGCAATAACTTACTTTGATAAAGACAGAGCTGTAGCTGTATATGTTCTGTAATATTGTTGGTACATATGATTATAATACATCATTAAAAGTTGCTCATTATTCAAATCGGCGTTGGTATTATTTACATCTATCTTGAAATTTTTATATTTGTTGAACGTGGTTGTTTGATTAGAATCATGTCCATGAAACCGATTACTAAAACCATGTGGTCGAATATTAGCAACACGAGCCATTGAAGAATTTCTAGACAAATCAGTCACTTTACGGGGAATATTTCTGTTTATCCCTGTATGCCATTCTTCATCAGAATTATGATCCTCTGTACTAGGATATCCATAATTGGAACTAGACTTCCTAATTCGCTTATGTTCTCCAGATTGATAATTGACTACATTACTGTTACCGCGAGAATACCTTCTTTTGATTCCAAGTCTTAATGAAGAATCATGCTCTGTATCTCGCACATGAGGCCGCCGCACATCATTTCTCCCTACATTGGCAGATTCATTATAACATTTTCGCAGTTGTAATTTGTGTCGTGCATCAGAAGGGAGTAGAGGGACGTGCGAACTTGATGAGTAAGGCATAAGACAAAATCCTGGAAATCTGAAAAATAAAAAACCTCTTATAAATCTGTATAGGAAATACAATCAAAAAACTATTTGTGATGTTCAAATATCCAGAACTGAAATAGATGGTCACCTAAGCAAAGATGCCAATTCGCACTTAACAACACAAGCTAATGAGGTAAAAACCACTGACGGATGCTAGCAAACATAGAGGATATTGATTATCATGAAGTTCTGAGTTTTGAAACCCCCATAAACGAGCTGCTATGGTCGAAGGTGATCAGACTTTACAACCTCAGCCAGGTAAGTCCTATTCACTTCCCCAATGTGGTGGGGATGTTCCTCACGAAAGCGAGAGGATGCGAGCGCTTGACCTACAACCGGAATAGTGTACGTGCAGGTCTATGTAGAGGAAACCCCAATTCTAGACCTGTTATGTACATAGGCTCCAGAATCCGAATGTATCCATTTTAGTCACCGTAAACCATGGGAACCCAGTTACACTGCCGTGTGGATCAGACCAAGTCAAACGCTCGGGAGTTGGCCCATTAAAACAAGCTACTTTGGTATGGGTGTCCAGGCAGTATCCCAGTTCTAGTACAAACTATGACTGTGCAGCATCTCTCGTTCTCTATAACGTTCCAAGTTTGTTTTGTTGGTCCTTTAATAACGATACAATTGAGAGCCGATTTGAATATAATGGTCCGCACACATTAAATAATCATTCGTTACTAAAGTTCTCTTCGTCTTTGTTAATAAAAACAATTTCATTTAAACCATTTTCTTTCGTCTTAATATGCCAAACCTTCAGTCTTAAAAACAAATACTCCTTCACCATGTTTATCAACTTAAATCAAACATTACTGAGTCGGCCACGGAAAGTGGCTGAAATACGGTGGATTGCCTTAGTTTCAGAGCAAAACATACGTCAATTGCCATAATAATGGTAAGGATGCATTGAAGACTGGCGTCACGTGGAATATAGAAAATGCACGCTATTACGATTGGCTGGGAAATCACGAACTCCCATTTTGGATGTTTCAAAACATATATACCGATAGTGCAACAAGCGGTGCTCGTCTATTCCTAATTTCATGTTTTACATAGGTCTATTGAACATTAAGTTTATATATTGAGAAGCCAACCCCTTTTGAATGAATATGCAGTTGACATGTACACCGACAGTACAACACAAACCACTGGATTGAGATAATTACATGTGTCAGAAGCTTAGGAAACGTCCTAGTTTACATTTGAAATTATAGATTCACTCTTTAGATTTCTAAACGAGGAAGACCGTGTTTAATTACTTTTGATAGATAAATGGAAAGCACTATAAAATAACGAACTGTTCATATTGTTATGATTTCAGCAACACATGGCACAGTACTCTGTGCAGAACATTGTGAATACAGCTGTAAAGTTCGAGATATTAAGCCTTGACTATATAATGGTAATCCTGTGAACCTTACTGAGACCACTTGAGGGCTAAAATGAACTTTATGAGAGATTTTGTGAACATAATATATCGAATCGGTTACAAAGAACACGTCTTACACTGTAGTTACAACTCAATTCAAAAATCATATACATGTGTACTGAGCCATCAAACTTTAGTATGAAACACAAAGATATTGCAGTCCTCGGATTTCAGTAGCTAGGAGATCGTCACCTACTCTGATTACATATGTCTGGTTTAACGGGACTCTAAGCAATCTATGCAGGTGCTATAAGACGTGAATTCATTCACAGATTAAGTATATGGGTGTTTAAAATAAGAATTTTGGGAGTATGCCACGTATGCACACGGAGAACAATCACTTTAGCTTAGCAAATCATTTTAGAATTGTCTGGAAAGCACCACTGTTCATATGAACTGTTAGTAACAAACATTCTGACGAACAAACGAGTGAAACGGGATATTGGAGTGTAATTTGTTAACTTGCAGTAGATATCGCTTGAATTACAAGTCAGTGGTTACTCTGGATTACCACACAAAGCAGGCTGTAGAGCTTAATTACAATTATAAATATCGTGAAAGGTCTGAATTACTAATACAAATTACTAATGTAGTGTTATAACTTAATTCTAATAATCCCTACTCATTCTAACTAGAGGAATTTTCATGGCTCCACAAAGAATCAAGCTATTGAATATGTCGGACCTTAAATTCAAAAGGTCCTACACATTAAGATACTACGAAAGTCAGGAAAACTGAAACCACTTCAAACTACTCACATTCATGTGGTTCACAAACGCCGGCTGAATTTGTTCCGCATCCGGACCAAAGGAGAAAAACAAGGTGTCTCAAAACTCGGTTAAATATATATATTATGAAAACTTTATGAACATATTCAACATTCACTCAATGATGACTTATTTTATCAAGCTTCGTCTGCTCGTTCAATGTCCAAACGTTGCTAGAGAATGAACTAACTTTGAATTATCCAGGCAATTCAACGGATAACTGCGAAGAACTTATAAAATGATCAGGTTAACTAATGGAAGAAGTTATTTGCTCAATTTTTTCACGTATGAGCATGACGAACAGTCAAAAACCCAATGTACTAACAGTTCCTCAAAACAATAATATAGGATTACTTCACCCCTAAGACTACTTGCCTGACTTAGATGCATGCAGCATGTCCCAGTTACGTAAAACTTCTTGACCTTAAGAAAGAAAGCACCCTGAACTAAATGAACCTTTTCTAAGCCACTACTATGATGCTGAATACCAAGTGAGTGTTCCCCATGGACTGGATACACTTGGAGAAAGTTTATGCGTATTAAGAGGAGGCTTGACGTCAAGAATGTCACTGGATGGAATGACAAGCCAAAGCGTCAGTAAATGATACCCACACAAACATCCAGAATTGAGGTAGACATCTCTCCTTTCTGTTCAGTAGGGGTAGCTTGTTTTGGATAGGTAACAGTGACACAAGTTGGAAGATCTGAGAAGCACCATGGGTGTGTTTCAGCATGCTTAAAGGTGTGAGCTGAAAAATTAAAGATAGCAGGCAGTTTATATGCGAACTGTTCAGATGAACACATCTGATTGAGGCATTTAGTGACAATCAAGCTGCTATGATGTCACCACTCTTACATTTCGTAATAGCACTGAGGTTAAAATAGGAACGCCGATTTGGACACAGAGGCGCTGATCACTAATACTGCTTGGCTACATCAACGTCATACGATGGCTACCAGTTTCCCGACCTGCTCTCCTTTAGTGAGAACACAGCGTGAGTCGTGAAGTGTGTTTTGGTATCAGCCACAGCACATTTTACACAACTTATGATTCGAGAGACCACCAAGGATATGTCACTTAGCCAATAATCATGATAAACAAGGAGAATACATAGAACCCTATTCAGTAAAAGTATACATTGATGTTTCAGTCCACATGTCAAGAGCCGATGGGATGGCATTCCAAAATTCATCACCAAAACCTTACGCAAGACTTTAGATGGACTGGTTAGTCGACGAATAACAACTAATCAGAGACTCGTGACTTCATTATAAAGGCTGAAGGTATAGTACAGAACAGACATCTGGTTCCATTCACTTCCTATATTCAAGATCTTGAAGTGGTGACAACATTTCGTTTGCTGTTGCTGCAGGACAACTCGATATAACCTAGTATAATCCTCTTAAGTGACAATATAATTGTCAATTTAGTTGAAGATTGAACGATCAATTCATCGCCGTTTGCTCAAACCCAACTCCTCCATATTTTTCGCGGGAGTCATCAATCCAACAGTCATCGTCTCATCGTTCGCTGTTCGGTGGAAGATAAAAAACTATCAGAAACCTTGTGTGTAATAACCTTATTGTTGGTTACATATTGGCGTTAGAATAAAGGATTCTTGAGCCCCCAATCGGTGTTCTGTTTTCGCGTTGGTTACTACCAATTGTTTCTGAAAGTCTTCGAGGGAAGGCGTGAGGTCCAGCGTAGTAAGAGCTGGACACCGGCAGTTACTGGGAATTGGCTGACAATAATAATATATATTTATTCCCATCTATGTAGGGCACACCAGTTGTACAGGCATGGATAAGTATTATTCACATTACATGAATTTTATTTAAGGTGAAATTACAAGGTTGCTGTCCTCTCTGACATTAGTTTGTGTGTACAATCTGATAGCTAGTCGTTCAATGGAGCACATTAAGAAACATAGAAATATTGTCTTCGCATTAACAAAAAAGCCGAGTGTGTTGGATGGATTATAAATATTTGGGGAAAAAATAAGGCTTGAAATCAATCTCTCCATATAACTTAGTTGTGTGGGGCATCAAATCTTGTTTTGCGTTCAAATAGGGTATTATAAGAATAATAATGTACATTTTCATATAAACATATAAATTTACATGAGAATGCATGCCATTTTTACAGGCACGATCAAGTATGATATAATATCAAATCGTAGATTGTTTAAAAGTTAATAATGTTTCAACAGCCAAATATTTGATACATATATATAAATGCACTCATTGTCCGCACCAGGCCGTATAGCTATTGAATTGTACAGTTGTATGTAAACAGCAATAAAGTTATTGTATTTGAACAAAGCAAGAACTACAGTTTTAGCAGAATAAAATGGTACCATCTTTTATTTCGTTGCCTTCTCGTCAGCTGCTTACATGGCAAAGACATTATTAAATATATCTACAACAACAATTTTAACATACTTGCACAGAGTTAAGTTTAAACAAAAATCAATCGATCAATATACTCATACACTAAAAATATACATATATAAATATGCAATATTAACCACTATTCCTAACAATAATAATCAAACACAATGGAAACTTTTAGCATTTCACATTCGGAGGAAAGAGAGGTGAAATTATCCAGTTACCAGGGCAAAGAAAGGCTGATAACCGCTTCTTTCTGGACGCATAAATCAGGTTTCAGGCGCTTGATGGAAATGGCTTCAGCAGACTTAAGGAGAATTGAGCTCTTTTGCTTATTGATAATTTTGAACGACTTTTCAACGTCCACCTCATGACCCGTATCGGGAAGATGCCTGGTGATGGCACTGTTTAAAGCATTTGTTCCCTTTAGACGTAAGCTTTTTGGTACATGTTCAGAAAATCGTAACAATAAATCGCAATAATACTTCTGATAGCTTTTCATCTTCCTCTGAACAGCGAACGATGAGACGATGACTGCCGGATTGATGACACCCGCAATAAAATATGGAGGAGTTGGGTTTGAGCAAACAACGATGAATTGATCGTTCAATCTTCAATTACATTGACAATGGCAAAACATAAGCGGTTGTGTTTCAGTTGTTTAAAGTTGGGACAGGGTCCCCAGTGGCTCAATGGTATACGAGCTCGCTTGCGCTACAATTGCTTAATTACATAAAACTCTCATTTCTGACCACAAAGTTTTAGAAATTATTGCAATTCGTTTACTTTCGAACACTAAATCTGTGGATGTAATCTTGTTGTCTACTAGTACTTATAACTAACTGTTTTGCATTTTGTGACTTTTTGACACTAACACGTATCTATAATTGTATATATTGTTGGATTTACATGTTCAAATTGGCGGAAGTCAGTGAGCCTATGATTTTCGTATCATTTTAGTTAAATGTGCTTAACCGGGGCACTTTTATTGTTGTTGTCGCCTGTTGCCCTTTTTGCTGTGAATTATTTTCCGTTTACTGCTGTTGTCGTGATTGTTTTATTCCTTGTTTTTCGGTTTTAGGGGAGCAACCCAAAAAATCATTTCTCTCTAAACTTTATCTTAATATAACAATCCCCTTTCTCAGGCGTGAGGCTAGCAACCCCACCATGTAAACAAAGTTGCTACAGAAACTTCAGCACGATGAATCTCCTTGCGCCAAAAGAAAAAGTCTGTGTGGGGACATGGAACGTCCGAACTATGTACGAGATTGGAAAAGCTGCCCAGATCGCAAACGAAATGAAACGATACGGAATTTAAGTACTGGGAATATGTGAAAGCAGATGGAATGGGAGTGGACTCACCAAATTGTCAACGGGTGAGTCAGTGATCTACTCCGCTCACCCAGAAGATAACCACACGCACACCGAGGGCGTGGCTATCATGATGTCACCAACGGCAACGAAAGCCCTGATACAATGGGAGGCGATTTCGTCCAGGATAATGACCGCCAGATTCAACTCCAAAGGAAGGAAAGTGTCAATCATACAATGTTATGCACCCACAAACAACGCAGACCTCGAAAAGAAAGAAGAATTCTACAGAAAACTACAGGCAACAATGGACAATACTCCAGCTGGCGACATGAAAATACTAATAGGAGACATGAACGCCAAACTGGGACCAGACAACACAGGAAGGGAACTCATCATGGGTAGAGAAGCTCTAGGAGAAATGAATGAAAATGGAGAACTCTTCGCCGACTTCTGCGCCTTCAACGAACTAGTGATTGGTGGCAGCGTATACAAACACAAAGATATCCACAAGGCTACATGGGTGTCACCAGATGGGCGACCTAAAACCAAATTGACTTCATCTCAATCTCAAGGAAGTGGAGGCGCAGCCTACTGGACACAAAAGCAAGAAGAGGAGCAGACGTTGGCTCATACCAGAAAGAAGACACAGGACAAACAGCGGCTCACTACGGACACTTGGAAACTAATAGAAGAGAGAAGGATGGGAAACAAAAGATTATCCAGTTCACCGACGAGCAACAATAACAGGAGTTGAATGCAAGCTGCAATATGCTGAACAAAAGAGTGAAGAAGAGTGCCAAGGAAGACAAAAGAAAATATTATGAAGCCATGAGAAGTGAAGCAGTACAAGCTGAAGGCAAAGGAGACCTCGCCACACTCTACCAAACAACTAGGAACCTTTCGGGCAAACGTTCGACACAGATTAAGCCATTAAAGGATGACAGTGGAAAGTCAATCACCAAAGAGGTGGAGCAAAGAAAACACTGGGCTGAACATTTCAGAAGACTTCTAAATCGACCGCCACCTACAACACGCCCAACAATACCAACAAATGAAGCAGAACTACTAGTGAACATTGACACCCCGACGAAATCAGAAGTCCTGAATGCAATCAAGATGCTAAATACTGGAAAAGCAGCAGGACCAGATGAAATCCCAGCAGAAACATCGAAAACGGGCTCAGAGACAACAGCGGACTTGATAACGCCATTGCTGGAGAAGGCGTGGAAAGAGGGCAAAGTACCTGAGGATTGGAAGAAAGGATACTTATTCAAGCTACCAAAGAAAGTAGA